ACTCCAATCATGAACGCTTTGAGATTAATTAAACTTGAAGTAATTAATTAGGTTCTCAAAGATATATATATTTTTTTGTTGGTACGAGGGAGGGACTAATAGACTAGGCACCGATTAGTGAACTTTAACATATGGTACCAAATTTACCACTTAAATTCACACTAATATTTATGTATTTACGTATTGCATTTAAATACAGAAGGCGGTGGGCACAGGGATGGGTTAAGGATAATATTTATATTGTTGTCTGTTTCGATTCCTCGTTTCTTCTGTCTGTTCCGCTCTCGTCTATTTTTGGTTTGCTTCTCGAGCTGACTGGGTGCGGGAAGAGAGGGTGTGGTGGAGGTTGAGTCGAATTGCTCAACTTCTTCTGCCTTGACTCTTGAGTCTTGAGCTGACTGCCTTTTCTTTGTCTGTTTGTTTGTTTGTACCAAGAATTGCGATGATGACACCCACTTACGGCACAACCAGACAGTGAGATTGCGTGGAATGAATCCGTTGGATTTGCTGCTCGCTGCTGCCGGGGGAGGGATGAAAATGATAGTTACTGCCGTTGACTAATTTTTTTTAATGGATTTGGGCTGGCTAAAGCACGCCAGTTATCCTGATCCACCCCGGACGACGGACTCACGGACAGCGAACTTATCTCAAATAATAATATTTCGTTTAGATTATAAATATATTTTAATTTAATTTTTTTAATATTTTTAATCATCTTTTTATCTCACATATATCACATCATAAAAAGTGTTACAGTAATTATTCTAAATAATATTTTAAATAATACTCTATCCAAACAAACCTAATAAATTTTTTGGTACTCATAGACCGAAACAGTTTGATCTCAAGAAGAATCTACAAGAAGCTGTTCGAACCAACGATCGTCTTGTTGGCTTGATTGAGTGCATTTAGATAGAAGATTATTTCAAAATAATTACTGTAACACGACTTTGTATGATGCAACATATATTAAATAACAAAAAAACTTATAATTAAAAAACATGTTTGTGACGTAATTAAATAATAATTCTTATAAATAATAATCGTCACTTGTTTAGACTTAGGTTAGTGTGACTCAAATTGGTTGGATTAAGCCATATGCTTGTGCGTTTTAAATCTACTTAAATGCCCAATTAACAAATTGACCAGATCAACCATTCATTTACCATTTATCTGTCTGACCCATCTAAAGCGTTTAAAGTATTTACTACTGTCAAACCATTTAAAGTATTTTCTGTTCCGTTCGACTTTGAAGTTTGGATTGTCAGTTTTTACAAAAATTAGGCAATCCTTCCAAACACGATAGCTTCCATTCCCGTAACGCTTTTGTGCCTTGTTTTCTATTTCCCTGTAGCTCCCCGTGTAGCTCAGAAAGAGAAAGGACGTTTGCTGCCATTGCTGGATGGAACTAAAGTTGCAAACGAATCGAGCCGCTCGTGAGCGGTTCGAGCCGGCTCGAGTCAAATTCGAACTCGAGCTCGAACTCAGAATATTAAGCTCGTTAGCTCGCGAGCCGGCTCGCGAGTTTGGGTATATATATATATATATATATATTTTATTTTTATTTAATAATAAAATTACGTATATTATATATATTTTTTATTTTTTATTTTCATAGTAAAATTACGTATATATCCTTAATATTTTATTATTTATTAAGAAAAAAATATTATTTTATTTATTTTTTAAAAAATAAAATAATTATTTTTTATTTTTTCGAGCTCGAGCTCGGCTCGACTTGATTCGAGTCGAGCTCGAGCTCGAAATTTGCCGGCTCGTCGAGCTCGAGTTTGGTAAAATTTAGTCGAGACTCGGCTCGATTAGCTCAAAACTCGATTCTGCTCGGCTCGTTTGCAGCCCTAGATGGAACGACGCAGTTAGAAGACATTCATGATACGTGCTCTTTGCCCCCATAAAAATGGTTCAAGCCAAGGAAGGCGCTCTCATCACAGACTCTTCCTATTGCCCAATTCCAGAAGCATCTCCCAGGTAGGTTGTCTGCAAGAATTCAAGAATCAAACTGAAACCACAATATGATAAACCATGAGTTTCTGTATGCAACTCCAATGCTGCCTCATATATCGTCCAACTTGGACACATCCCCATTTCATCCTTTCTGTGCTACAAAAAAAAAAAAAAAAAAAAAATCTTCTAAACAGATGCAAACCCAATAACCAGGATGAGCGAAACCCAGTTAACAAACTGAGGTCAACGTGAACCTAACTTCTTTCATCCCCAATCCAGTAATTTTTCTCCTTCGGCCCGGTAGGGCCTTCCTCACCAGACAACTCCATGGGAAACTTCGTGAATACATTTTCAACTGAATAACGAAACATCAAAGGCAAACGCTTGATGATTCTATCCATCTCAGTCCTTGAATCATAGACAATAGTTGGACCCCATTTTCTCATAAACTGTAACCAAACTGGCTCACGAATAACTCCATCTCCAAGATACTCAGCTGCAATAATTTCATACTGCTGACTTGAATCCACACAGTAATCGCTACGAGCGGCATCATTTCTTATACCAATCCCAAATCCTGAGGATCCCTGAATGTAAATCCCAGGATGAGGAAAGCTAGCATGACCACTTTTCGAAGAATAAATGATAGCTTTGTTTCCCTCAACAAATTCCAGATCCGGAGCATCGACCCATTTTCCACCACTATGCTGGGAGAAGTATACGCTCCAGAGCTCTCCTGTGAAGTTGCTCAATCGCAGGGTAAAGTGCTCCCAGTCACACACATGCTGACCGATTTTGCTCAGAGCAATGTTCATTAACCCTACCTTCAAAGTTGCAGGCCCATTGAAGGGACAAAAAACCCACATTGCAATATCAGTGAAAGTTCCCCCTATGGCTGGCTTCACATGAACATAGAGTTTTGCACTTTCCAGGTTTCCGTACCGGACACTCTCCCTTCCGGAATCACATGGCAAATCTATCCAATACTCTCCATCATTCGAGCCACCAGCAGGCAAATTGGTTCCGCTGGCATCAATCGCTTGACCGCTAGATTCACCTCTTTTGTACAACAAAGCTCCATTTCTGAAGAACCACGAGACTGAAGATGGCAAATAGACCTCTTCGGGATGAAAAAAGATTGTAGGTCCATAGTGCCTAATGAGCGCATGTATCTGATCAAGATTTGGCATTGCATGTAGGCTGCAATCCAGGTTCTTCAAGCAGACAATATCTAGTTCTTCGCCGTGGCTCCAGTAGCTGCTGCAGAAAAATGAACCGGTTGAGACTCCTTTGCCAAGCATTCCCCTATGCCGGGGTCTTGTGCTCCAGACTCCAAATGGAACTTGTGAAAATTTAGAGGTAGTGTGCACCAACAGGTTGTACGCTTCACATTCATCAGTAAGATCTGCACGAACGCATTTCAACTCCTCCAACTGAGGCTTTTCTGGCTTGTTTGTTACCACAAATCCCAAAGCTTTATAACCCTCGTATGGCTGAGGCAACCAGAAGTAACCGCACCCATCAAAATTTTCCGCGCTCGCATCATCTGAACTCCAAACTAACGTATAATTCTCAGGGCTCCGCAGGGCTGGCAAATGCAGATTATCTATTGAAGGATCCCCTAGCTCAGAGTTGAAAACTTCCCTGGCTACAAGAACAAATCCTCGAAAAGGCTTTTCATTAGACTGGCAATAGTGACCCAGGCTGAAAAATCCATCTGGTATTCCCACCGGCTTATAAAAACTATACCCCTTTTTCTTGTCCCCAGACAGGTTGCACCCCCAGATTAGCTCAAATTTCGTCACATGGCAAACTTCCAGTACTCCTAATTTGATCGTGCCATCAGCAAATCCACCACCTGGACATTCAAGAATCACAATTACGAGAACTGAAATAAAACAGAGAACTACAAACTAATAAAATTATGCGATCTTAGCGGAGGCAATCCGTAAAGTACGAGCCGTTTTGACAGGAAAACGGTCTATTGCTTCAAACTCAAGATCCAGAGTAGGAGTAAGATTTAAAAGTTAGTAAGAAAATTGTCCCTCCCTCCAAAGCTTGGAAATTGACGGGATTAAAAAGCATAATGAGAAAATAAAAGCAAAGGATCATATTCCAATCTCTTCAGATGGATTGATAGGCTAGTATGTGAAGACTGCAACAAGATATGAATAAAAAAGAAAACAGAACTTTAGACCCAGAAATGACTTGCATTCCCAAGAAAAGGGGAAAGATTCAATAAGAAAAGAATTAAAGAATTAAAAATAAAAAATTTTTTTGCAAACCTTGTGGCCAATCAGGAAGGGGGGCCGGAAGGGAGAAAGATTCCGGCTGGGGCTGAAGTAGATCGCAGACACCGCTCCAATGGAAACACTTCCATCCCCACAACATCATCATTAGTCTCTATCGCCTCCCCTGACATGGAAATTATCCGAGTATTAAGCCTTAATTATCCGATTTTCAGATCAGGTTGGAAGTTGGAACTGAACAAATAAACGTGGATGCCGGCCAATCCTGCAACTCAGGGAACTTAAATGTTGGAACTTAATTATCCTTGACGACTCAGGGAATCAAGGAATATGGAATAATTTGGAATGCCTTCGAAAAAGTTATAAGAGGTTATACTTTGGACAGAGTTACATTGGAGTGATTTATTTTTTTCAAGTAAGTTTACAGATTTAAAATTCCATGTCTGTAACAATTATTCATTATCATTTGAATGCAATATACATTATTCCATAAAGAGGAGGGTATTCTCCATATCACAAAAAAAATTAAGATGAAAATTTAACTTCCGCTCTAACCTATCAAAGAGTAATTTTGTAAGGAGTATAGATACAGAAAGATGAAAATATACAAGGAGGATAGATAGATAAATATTATGAAGTTGTTGTTATTTTTTTTTAATAATATATATATTACTGTTTTGAATTAAAATATAAATAACGGATCAAAATGTTACTAATTAATACTCCAATTTAGAGACTCTTTTTTTTTTTTTTGAAACTCGAATATTCTGCCGACAAAGACAACCAGGAAGAGGAGAGAAATGAGTGGATCGAATTCCATGCCTCCGGAAAGGGCAGACTCATGACCGACTGGTCCAGCCACAACCTTAGAGAGTTCCACTCTCGTCGACGACAATTCAACAGTTTTGTGGTTCCCGGAAAATGCCAATTCCAATTCCAACGTGCTTGCCTTCTCCTTGTGTGTGGAGGTGGAGGAAGAGGAAGCATGCTTATATAGATAGCAACAGTACATGAGGAACATATGCCCCAACGCGTGAAGGAGGTTTTCGTTTTCTGAACGAACTTCCCTGTTCAAGACTCAGGTAAGATCCAAAATGAGATATTCTTTCACAACAGCTAAGGCTGCTTCATTATCGACCACACAGGCACTAAATCGCATGCCAAAAAATAAAATATCTTTTTTGTACCTTCCGGACATCTTCCCTTCCCCCTCCCTCCCTCTTGAATAAATAGGCCATCTTTGTTTTCAGGCATTTTCAGATTTGGGATTCAGTAGTGTTTTGTTTAATTAACCTGCTGGTGGCGGAGCCGCGCTTGAGCGTACTTGTAAGCCGACAAGAAGCAGCGGAAACTGCTCTCTTGCATCATTTCACAGAGGTATTTTCCTTTCCCAATTCATCCTCTATGCTCAGAGATTTTACTGGCAGTTCTTTTCCATTTAGATCATTTGCGCCATGACACGAGAAGAGAGTAAATACCACTCCCAGTGGCAGTACTTCCCATAACCTGGTCATTCTCGTTTTTATCTTTCCTTCATCTGGCCATTGATTATTGCCTTCTGTTATAGTCAGAGTCACGATATGCATATGTACATACCACCAACTGTTAAAAAAGTTAAACTTTGCCAACCCACAACATATCAACAGGGGAAACCTGAGCAGAAGCATTCAAGCTTATTGATTATTTCAGACAAATTAAAGAAGAGAAAATGTTGCTGAGGAGTTCTTCCACACCAGTACTCGGTTCATTGCTCTCATCCTTGTCAGAAACTCCCAACAACAATAACCAGTCCAATTGTGAAGTGCCAAACGCCAATCCCCACCCCTATGGCAAGATCTGCTGCAAGCATTACCATGCTGCTGCTGGGCCTCAAAATTTTACCAAATCTCTATACAACTCCTCCCCCGTCTCTCCCTCGATCTCCGGAAACATCCACACTGGCGGATTTCGGAGAGCTCAGTCAGAAGGAAACTTGGAAGGATTGGTCAGGGCCTCGTCCGACAGCGACGATGGATTAAACTTGTCTATCCCAACCAAGAAGTTTTCACGCAGGCCGCCCCACTGCTCCATTTTGGAAGCAATCCCATCTTTCTCGTTTCAAAATCCAAGAAATCGCAATGAAGACCAAGACAGTGAAGAAGAAGAAGAAAGTTTGCATGGGGAAAATGGTTTGGTTCATAATTCTGTTGCAAAGGAGAATCCTTATAACTTGAAAGGAGACGGGACCTATGCAAGCGCATACAAGAACAGTGCTGGAGTTGGAGAGGAGATGCATCTTGCAAGAGGGCTTGGGGTTACTGATTTTCATTTTGCTGATGTTGGAGGACATATTAGTGGAGGAGGAGGAGGGCGGGATTACAGGCCGGTAGCCTTAGGTGGGGATGGTGGTGGTGACAGCAATGGCCTTATCATGGAGGAGCATTATAAAAGAATGTTGGAGGAAAATCCTTCCAACCCTTTATGCCTGAGGAATTACGCCCAGTTCTTGCATCAAGTAAGCCTCTTTCCGCAACGATTTAAATTCCGATCAGCTTTCTTGATTTGACTTTCTCATCTACGTATAACGTTATCATACATGTAACATGGATGAGATTTGTACTGTCGAACGCATAATGCAATGAAATCGAAACCAAACTTGTACTTCTGGCAGACAAAGAAAGATCCTCGACGTGCGGAGGAGTACTACAGCCGAGCTATTTTGGCAGACCCAGAAGACGGTGAAGTTTTATCAAATTATGCTAAACTGGTATGGGAGCTCTACCGGGATAAAGATAGAGCCAAACACTATTTCGAACGAGCAGTCCGAGCTGCAGCGCAGGACAGGTATGCACCTAATTCTCTTGGATCCTCAAATCTTGTCTTTTGTTCAAAATTTCTTTTATTAATTATTACACACGACGTTGAATCATGGGCACTGCTGTACGCCAGCCATGTTCAAGCTGCCTACGCTAGCTTTCTATGGGAAACTGATGAGGAAGTTGAAGAGGAGGATGATCGATCGTTGAAAACACCACAGCCAATGCTGGCACTGATCAAAGAGGAGATCACCGCTTAGTTGGATAATGTATCCGGGTTCCTGCATCATTCTATAGCTAGGCGATTGGAATTTTTCTTGATTACAGGAGGCTATTGGATTAGAAAAAGAAATCACCTGTTTCCATTCTGCAAAGTAAATCTTGTCGCAAGGAAAATTTAGATAAAATGTCTCATAATAATGAAACGAAATTAATTATTCGTAATTGCCATCAGTTCGAAGACGCAACACAGACCCAGCCTTCGAATTGAATACCTCAAATGCCGAATGTCTCCTCCAAAACTGGAGCCAGATTTTTACACATTTAATGTGACTACGTTCTCACCATATTCGTCACGCCAAAGACTTCAGCATATTACTACTTGTAGTTTAGTTTTTTTTTTGGGGGGGGGTTTTCGTCTCTCTTACAGTTACAGTAGTCAAAACTATGGCCCACTACCCATGTTCCGAAAAAAGATGCCGATCTACGCTGTTTTATCAACGGCTCAACGCAGATACCACGCCGTTGATCTGAAGAAAACTTTGACCTTCAGATTAGAAAGACAACACGACCCAGAACCATTTAACATGGAATTGGAAAACAGAGCAGTAAATCACAAAAGCACAAAAGGAGCCACAACGCAACCAAGAACCGTTTAACATAGAATTGGAAAGTAGAGTTATTGGGACTTCCTACATGTATGAATAGCTTGATAAATATGCTTTTACTCAAGATGCACTGCAACCAATAAAGGCCAAAAAGCAGCCCCTCCAGATTTACAAGGACAAAATTTGCCAAGAGGGGGGACCTATAAATGCCAGATAACAATGACATGAAATACATCATCACATGCATTTATATAGAAAATCACTCAAACAATTGACGAATAATGGTGGGAAACAAATCTTGTTTTGTAAAATGAAGAACCATATCCGCCAAACTAGCGGAGCAAATTTGCCAAACTCAAGCCCTTGCTGTTTTCAAGAACTGCGGAAACCATTGCTTCTCCCTTTGTTGCTATCATTGCTGTCTAGGTTGCTTCCCCTACCAAATCGTCCCCCAAGACGACCACCTCTGCCACGTCCCCTTCCTGGGCACAAGTAACAGTGTGTTAATGCGTCAAATGGAAACAATTTATGGCATTGCAAACTAAAGGCACATACGTTGCTACCCCCAAAAAAAAAAAAAAAATCTAAGCCAATTCCAATTACTACGATCCAATCAGAAATGCTTGTATTAACAACCATTTTGCCTCAGACAACCATCAAACTTTTTTAGTGTTTTTGCTCTCACCAACTGAATTGATGACCAACCATAGAACAGCAGTTTCACCAATAGCAAATGAACACAATCAACAATGGTTGATAGCATATGATTCAAGGCCAAAACCACCAGACTACCACACCATTGCTGCTACTACAAAACCGAAGATTCACATAATCCACCATAAATATGGCACTATCAAATATACAAAGTTAGTCTACATATATCAACATGCTTCAAGTACAATATTTCAATCAGGCACAAACAAAGATTTGTAATTCTGCGAGGCTGTAGCACTTCATGATGGACAAGCGCCACACTTTAATGCCTCAACTCTGCCCCTTTCCACAGATAAGCTACCAAAATTATTCACAACCCATACAATCTATAGATCGTAGACAAATTTATAGCACATAGTAAATCATGCTTGCATTACTACGAATTCCAGTAAATGAAAACCCAAGTACTGATTCTGGAATATTTCAACCAAGAGTTCATGGTCAGGAAGGATCCCAGCAATTGTTAGTTTCATTTTGAACAAAGGCCAGAATTTGACATTTGATTTAGAAGTGTAACAAAAAAATCAACAAGCAAGCAGGAGTTAAAGGATAGAGAACGATCCCACATACAAATACATCTGTACAACAGGTCTTAGATCAAATTCTTGGTTGGCTTTCAAAATAAAGATAGTTAAAGACACATACTCCCTCCACGAGTCGTACTGCCGATGCTTGGTTTTCTTAGCTCAACATAGACTTGTCGTCCAGCCAATTTTATAGGTGAAGCCTAAACAGAAAATTAAGAGTGCTGAAAAGTTAAAACATGGATAAGGCAAATACTTGCACAATGAATAAGTGTAATAGAAGTGAATATTGTCCACAGGAACATCAAAGAGCCAATAACTTGCCACACATAACAAAGAATGGAGCTACATCTTTTAATCTTACTGCAGCAGGGAAGAAAAGTAGCACTTACAGTTCCAGAGGCCTGGAAATTACTTGGCAAATTTTAAAGGACAAAATAATAGGACTGAAAAAACTAGAGAGAGATGAACCTTCACTGCATTTTGGGCACTCTGGACGTCTTCAAACTCAACAAAGGCATAGCAAACACCAATTTCCTGCAACCGCAAGCAATTTTAGATTTGGGAAGCTAAGTACTGAGGCACAAAGTAGATTATTAAAGAAATTAAAGTCAACCTTGCGATTGTTTACAAAAACCCCATCCTGCTTGATTCTCCCAAAGTTTTTGAACTCTTCCATAACTTCAAGACTAGAAACACCAGAGGGCAAGTTCCTCACATAGATAGATTTTGATTCTCCTGAACAAAAGGCACTTTTAGATCAAGAAGACTTGAAAGGAATCATTACAAAATCAGATAATTGAAATCACACTTTTAAAATTCTGTTGGGAAACCAATTGCAACAGATAATTGAAATCACTTAAGTGCGATAAGGTTTTTTAGATACAACTCCTAACTCCGACGTATGCACACATGGACCATTATGAGTATACTATGCCTTCCGTTTCTTTTCAATTACTTCCTTTACTTTTACATGCATTTGCATAAGTTATCCACTACCAAATGCCAAGTTTCATAAAACGTCAATTCTATGCATTCTACTACATGCCCTTCATGAAATTGTCAAGTTTCAAGAAACTTCTTCAAAAAGGAGAAGGAGAATGTCGGTGTGTTTTGGAAAAAGACACAACAATTAAATGCCCTCCTCTGAAATTATGTACCTGGTCAAAGTAGTCACTAGGAATGAGAATGGGAACAGTAATTACTGAATCAACGTAGCAGAAAGAGACAGCAGAAGGAAGATACAACAATCAAATAGGGTGTTAAAAGTATTCAAGTGCTTTCTAATACATAACAATAACATCAAATCACAGATCTTGTAACCAGTATTTTTTTGGGGTCAGGAAAAACAAGAAAAATCAAGTATGAAAGAAAAACCTTGAAGAACTGCTTTCACAAGTAAGAGAGCATGAACTAGAATAATAATTCAAGATGGTTACCAATGTAGTACAGCTAGCGAAGATGTTAACACCACCAAAAGGGCAGAAACACGAAATAGAAATTACCCTCTTTGTGTGAAAAAGTTTCCTCTGCAACATCCTCACTGATATCAGGTGCAACTGACAGTGCAGCATTTGACTGCAGCAAAGGTGGCTGTGATGCCTTCTTATTGAAAGATGGCTGAACAGTGACTGTTGATGTTGGATTTCCCTTTGGAGCTCGCAACTTTATGATTACCAGCAATAAAAAATGACAAAAGAAAGGAAGTGATAATAATTAGCAAAAGCAAAAAATATTGAACTTTTAGAAATAGAAAGAAAATAAGACTTCGATGAAGTATCTATGGACATAAATCCCTCAACATGGCACAGGTATGCTGCTATTATGGTACACTACCATAATCAAGCATGAGAACAGAGTGCACAAAAAAATGTGGGAAACCACTTTCTAGATCAAGGACATAGAGCAGGTGTTTCAACAATAAAAGTTTCTACTTCCTCTAACAAGCCAATATGAGAATCATCTGAAAATCAGATATAAGGATCATGGACAAATGCTTAATCAAATTATCCTTGTCCTTTTGTGAACTCCCCCAATGAAACTAGTACCTTTGGAAAACCTAACCCATCGACTATCATAATCTTTGTCTAAGTTTTTTCATCTTACAATTCATTTTTTTTCCATGAGAAGCAGACTCAACTTCTACTAGGTTATAGTGAATATCATGCCAAAAAAATGACAGAAGAAATGGAGAGCAGGGAAGTGCAGTGTCAACTTCTACTAGGTTATAGTGAATATAATGCCAAAAAAAAAAATTATAGAAGAAACGGAGAGCAGGGAAGTGCAGTGCTTGTAATGATTCCCATGCAAAGGTCATGGAATAGGTGCATACTATAGAAGCATAAGAAACTTTTGGAAGCTCCCCAACAGGTTCCTCCACCGCAGGAAGAGGTTCTTGTGCGGTGTCTTCTTCATTTTGCATAAAACCAGATGACTCCTCTAAAGAAGTCCCTTCATCCACAGTTTCTGCCCCAGCATTTTGCTCCTGCTCCTGCTCCTGCTCCTGCTCTCGATAACTATAATCTTCAACTGCATCATCTCCTTCTATATGAACTGAGTTCCCATACTCCCCAGCCTCCGCGTCTAAGGTATAGTCAGAGACTACAAGGTTGAAAACTAGTCAGACAGGACCAGATGATTTTACACTACCCATACAGACACTTGTTCTACAACTTTCCAAAAAGCCAGATCATCTAGGAAGAATACACTTGATGAGAGACCACATATATTTAAAAAATTTTTCCTTCCATGAACCAAGAATTATGGCCACTTATGCAAATATGGGTGTAGTACTGCCACATAATTGAGACTGAAGGACCACTAATTCAAATCCAATATAAAAACTACAAAGGAAATTCCAAAATGTACATGTTAGCATAATCCTTGGACGAACAAAAGGTGCTCTGAAGAAACGATGAAACTTAAAAGTCCTCTACTTGAAAAAAATGGTTTATCTGCTTTATTTTTGGCAAGCATGAAGCAAGTTCAGCAAAGAGAAGCTAGATTATTCTTTTCTACCATTTAATGGCTACTTCAGCGACACCGAACAAAATTGTAAGATCAGTTAATAATACCCGGTGGCTCCTGAAGAGGTACAGAACTCGCTGGTTGAGAATCAGATTCGGTTTCAACAGCTACAGGGGCTGGTGTTTGGTGGATCACCTCTGATACACCCAATGCAGGAGCTTGATTAATCACCTCCTCATTGACAAAGTGAAAGATGTCGTTCAAAACAAAATAGCCTTTCTCCTGGGGGGCAAGAAAAAATGTCTGCAAAAACTTCCTCCAGCCACTGAAATCCTTGGACTTTACAGAACCAGAAACTACCACAACAACACCTCCACTCCAAGATTCAAGAGAATTAATTGTCTTGATTTCAATTGCAGTAAAATTCAGTGAGGTGATGAGTGCATGAATTTGCTGCAAAACACAATAAAAGAAGTCTAATAAAGCATCCCAGGAGCATCATAACTGAAAAAGAGTACAACAATGTTGTTTGAAGTGATGTTGACCATGCGTAAACATTGACCACTAGGAAAAATATTCAATTAGCAAAATTTCATACTCTAGTACACAGTTATTCACCAACCCACTCTTAGACAAATCCTGTTGATTATCCACCAAAGCTTACTCATGAACCATATCTCCTAGCAGCCTTTTCTCCAACAAATTAAGACGAATACCATGCAATGCAGTAATCTTCATACGTTCTTATTTAAAGGAAGAGAAACATTTAAATTCCCTATAATTGCAAGGTTGCAACATCATTTTCCCAAACAAGCTAGGCCAGTTAAGAAAGAACCGATTTCATATAACTATTGCTGTAAAAAAAATTAGCTAAGAATCATATCCCAAAAAAGAAGCAGCAGAAAATGAAAACGTAAGCAGTAAAACTTCGTTTAGGACCAATATATATATAGACAAAACGCTGTAGAGTATACCCCGCTGACCAATCTCATTAGTGATACGAGTACGTTCGGCCGCAAGAGCCATTTAAAAGTTTGAACTAAATTCAGTTCAGAAAACGGAAAGCATTTAAGATCGAAGTTTAACCGAATCAAATACCAACACGTCCTCTTTTAGTAATTTTTTTTTTAGAAAAAAAACTTCAGAAGCTCAGATCAGAAAACGAAATTGCTAAAATACGATTGGATAAAAACCAAACAAAAATAGAGACTTGATAATCACAAAAAAAAAAAAAGAAAGGTACCAGCAGTGCTGAAGCCGATTCAGTGGTCTCACCATCGACTCTTACGACGGTGCTGGAATCGTTGTAAAACTGATGAGTGTAATCCGGTTGCTGTTGAAGAATCTGATAGTACTGTTGCACGAAATAAGAACCAACCTGCATTCGGCGAATCGAGAATTAAAAAATATATATATTTAAATCATCACTCAAAACTTATCTTTTCCTTGAGAGGGGGGGGAGGGGGCGAATAAAAACAAAAAAGAAAAAGAGAGACAGAAAAGTATAAATCGAGATGAAACGAATCAAAATCGATGGAAAGGACCTGAGTTGCACTGACAGAAGCGGCCATTATTGAGTCGCTCCCCTGCGCTTCTCCAGAGCCTCAACGAATCCGCAAAAAACCTTTAAACCCTAGCTAGATCACCAAAATCCTAGGGTTCAAAAAGACCAGAGCTAAAGAATACGCTCTCACTACCTTCGTATAGATAAATACAGATAGATATAGAAGATATGGACACGTACGTCTATATAAATAGTCGTATCGTATCTGGCTTTTAAGTTTTCTTTTTGTTTTTGGTTTGTTTTATTTTAATAAATACGGAGAGAGAAAACAAGGTGAGAGAGGGATTGTCGGAATAACCATAAGTAATAGTAGTTGTAGTCAGTACAGAGCTCCTTTTTTCCCGTTTCTTTTTCCTACTTCTCTATCTAAAGTTTTACTTGGAATGGTGGAATTCCTTTTCTGATTTTATCCTATCTGGCCATTAAAACTACTCCTACTGCTCATATCATGTGTAGTACTTATAGTAGAATCCTTTTCTTTTCTTTATTATTTTACTGTTAAGGGTTCATTCTGGGTGCTGTGGATGAGCGAGCGATCCGGAGTGAAGTGATAATGCCTAGCAAGTACGTACCAGAAGTTCGGCTGTCAGCGACAGAGTGCGGGCTTTGGGCTTTTGGCCAAGCAGAACAAATTCTTTGGATTCCGTATGACGTCACCCTTGCATCTAGTGATGATGATAAAAAATTAAATAAATAAATAAATAAAAAAGCTGCTGCAGGGAAGGGACTGGGAGCATCAAATCAGCTTTTGAGTTTCGCCGTTGTTCTATTCCTCTTCTTCGTTGTGAAAATTACTTCTGCTTTTAAACTCGCCGTTCCCTCCAATCTGTTGTGATTCATGCTAGTAAAATATTCCCTCTCTCTCTCTCTCGAGAAGGGAAATGTGTAATTTTCCAAACTCTGCCGACTATATATACTACTACTAGTAGTCATCTTCAACCGCAGCCCGTGCTCTTTACATTTTGATTGCAACTTGCAAGTAGGAATATGCTCTGCTTTACTGAGAATTTGCTGCAAAAGTAGAGCCAATTCCAGTTTTCCTCCCTCAACCTGCATATCGATATGGTACATATGGGACTTGTCCTACGCCATCTATACAATATGATTTTCAATCTACCGTCATGTTCCATGTTCAATGGAATTGGAAACGACAATGCAAACGCTGGACTTGAACATACTCCACGCAAATGACCCTCTGTATCATGAAATTCACGAATCGTAAAATTCCCCCGTCCCTCTCTTTGACCAACCTTTTGTTTTTCTTTTTCACCAATCACTTGGTATAACAGGTTATAAATTCACAAGCAAACAAGAAAACGCCTGTGTTTTAGCAAAATCAAAACGTGAACGGCGTTAAAAAATTTTCATAAAAAAGGTCATTCTGTAGAAATAGGAACCAACTGCCACCAAACATGATTACCTTTGGGTTATGCTCATTATCCATCGCTCTCCAATCAGTCGTAATGTTATTAAACGCATTCATTCTCCTTCCTTCATTAACCCCGTCGAGGTCATTCCATTTTTTTTGGGTTTGTTCTAGAAGGCTTTAGAAATCCAAGTTTGAAGCTTCAGATCCATACGAAACCGTTCCTCTTTCTATCAATCAAACACCTTCACAAGACTCTATTCAAGCAAGACGACCTCACTGAATTCAAACTACAAAGCTTTCATTGCTCAAGCACATGATGTAACTACTAACAGCCTACCAAGGAGCTCAATCTATAACTAGCCTACATAGATAGAGAAAAGGTGCGAGGACTACAATACAAATTGCACATCCATACCGATTAGTTCCAAGTGAAGAGAGACAAGAGTACTGCACAAACTATCCCACCCAGAACCTAGTCAACGTTGCCAAAAGCATGCAGAAAAAAGTACTCATGGCTTGCTCAATTACACGGCCAAGAACCGGAACTGGTGAACTACAGCCAACAAAATTGATCGAGGATGCTTTCCAGGTTCAATAATAACTGCCATAATAAGCTGTGGGAGGGACAGCACTAGATTGCGGTGCTGGAGTCAAGGTCGCTGCTGTAGCTGGCTGTGCATAGCTTTGCTGACCAAATGCCTGTAAGGATTAAAAACAGACAAATAAAGCATCAACCTACCAACGAAAATAACGTCATATTTCCTCATGGACCTAGCCAAAATATCCAAATCTCAAATACTTCATACGAACTTGGATGAAAAATTATGTACATAAAGATGTACATGTAGTTTTCAAAAGGATTGATGTACTTTTACAGATAGATATCGTTCTCAAAACAATATATAGCATATAAAGCAAGAGCCTAAAATGTAGACTGAAATCCTTGTCAAGGTCACTAATCAGATCAAGGGTGTATTTGATAAAATTGAAGTCTGAAAATTGAAATCTGAAATCTGAAGTCCGAATCCATTAAGTTATTTAATTGTTAAGTATTAAATCTAATATATTTGAGTATGTATCATATTCAATAATAAGTGAATAGCTTATCACTTAATTTTTGAAGCAAGTTTTGTCTAAAAAATTCAGTGTCACTTAATTAATTCAAATGCCCAATTTTTTTATTATCAAACACGTCTGAATATGTTAAGATCAAAATTCATTAAGTTTAAGTTCTGAATTGAGTTATCACATAGGACCTAAGTTTTCCTGTCTTTCCTGTCCAAACACACAACAAAGAGAACTAATTGATAAAGGGGAAAAAAAAAGAAAATTTAAATCGAAAAAAGTAAAAGGATACTAAGGACCAAGATTATCTTCTTGCTAAATTATTAACGACTAGAAGCATAAATCATTCCAAATCTTTTTCTAAAAGCAATAGAAAAATCTCCTAACTCAAAATGAAAAGTGTATCATAAACCTTCCTAAACCGAAAGATATTCAATTGATTTTTGGATAGAAGCTTCCCATAGTTTGAGAACCAACACTAGCCTCCATTCCCACCCCAACAATATCATATAACTGGCCATTTAACCTACCTCTCACAGCCAAAAAAAAAAAAAGAGAGATTCATATTTGTTAGTTTCAGCAGATCCATTTGGCCTATAGTCAAAATGTACAAGTTATTATTTTATCATCACCTAGAATTCATGTTTCTATTTATCATTCTCTAAACAACACTTGTGTCTTGTTTTCTTCAATAGTCCAACTGTCCAAATTGTGCAAAATGCAACTAATGAAAAGCTCTTAACATGCTAGTGCCTTGACACAAAAGATTCAGCTATTCAAGATCAATGAAAATAATTTCCAACCAATATAGAACAACAAAAATGTAACAGGAACTATCATACAGCTACCAATCTAAAAATCCCAAAAGCAGACGTGATAAACAAGGTATTCAATCTTGGGAAGAATGATTAATCTACAGTAATAAGTTTGCCACAAAACACTTGGCTCGTAAATGCATTTTGTTACCTGAGTAGGATATGTGGGGGGATAAGCACCGTAAGCAGCATTCTGGGGCACTGAAGCAGGTACCTGTTGCTGTGGATAGCCAGTTCCATATGCACCATACGCACTATATGCAGACTGAATAAAATACGTGGAAGCTAAATGAGCATTTGACAAGAAGAATCCAAAACAATAAGTTGACTAGTCACCCTTAATATTTGCTTCAAATTTAGGACTGATGTGGGTGGACTTGAAAAGAACTATTACAGTGGCGGTCATGCTACCTGTTGGGCATAGCCAGGGGTCCACTGCTGTGCTTGGCCTTGTGCAACCTGTGGCCAACCTTGTGGTAGACCATAACCTGCTGGCCACTGGTTTTGCGCATTGGGATAAGCACCCATGACTGATGGAGCAGATGAAGGAAGAGAAGACTTCGCTAGCTTGGTTTTATCCGAAATTAAATAATCCTCAGCGAGGCGCTTTTTTGACTCTGGTGAACTCCCATGAGGTAAGAAAAGCTTGGCATGGCGATCATCAGCCTTTTTTATAGACTCCGCATCCCCAAAGAGATCCAAGAACTGAAAAGAGTTGGTCACCATACAAAATCAACAAAGGCCAACCAAAAACATAAACAAATAACAATATTTGCAAGGAGCAGAAAAAAGATCTCAAGTGTTCAAGAAACTTCTTTTAGTCTTGAAGCATAATAAAAAAGTGAACATGCCATCTATAATACAAGGAAAAAAGTCAACCGATTTACAAACATAAGGCAGGATTTGAAGCAAAAGTCTAACAAGTCAACAAAGTAATAGGAATATATTTTTGTTGGGCTACAAAAACGAGTGTCCATATACCTAATATAGATAAATCAGTCATCGTAAAGTATTAGGTTTTTTAGACATCATATAAAATCAATTAACATTATATGTCAAAACACCACCGTCTAGTAGTATCTAGAAATTGTGATGAAGAATTCCAACAAATCATGCAATAAACAAAAGCCTATAGACAACTACCTCCAGGAAGATGCTAGATAACTCCTCTCTCTCAGTAATACTTGCAACATTTGGGTTATCAGCAGTTGGAACTATAAACTTATCAACCAAGGAATCTAAGTAATCCATTCGTTTTGGAAGAGACTGAACAGATTCAAAGTGAATTAAAGCCTGCAATATAACCAAAAATAAAGAACATGTTAGCAACAGCTGAAAAAATCAATGCAAGTGGAGAGGGTACATAAATTCTAGAGCCGTTGCAAAGGTCTCTCTGCGTGTGTACAGGCACCTCTGTGTGTGTGAGAGAGGGGGGGAAGAGAGAGAGAGAGAGAGAGAGAACCTCAATAAGTGGTTTTGACAACAGAGTATTCTCAAGTGCTTGGTCAAGAATGTCCCTGGCTTTTTCCACCTTACCAGCAACCTTCAGCCCAAAACAAAAAGGCGGTGCACAATGTCAGTAAGAGACACTACAGAAAAAGAAATAAATATAAGACTCTGACTTCTTTAGAGAAGGGTGGATTGCAAGGTTATGGCATGGATATCAAAACACAACCTTTATTCTCTTATTTACAGCTTGTTAGTCATCCAATAATGCACACTCAACATTGCAAGCCCATAATACAAGTTGTACCCACACTAGTGCGTTGCTCAATCAGGATTAAATCATCCATTGGCTTTAGTATGTAGAGGGAAAAAAAATCATTAAATTCCAATGATCTTCACATGTTCAGGAATAACTAAAAGTTCCATCCAAGTTTCAGAAATCTTTCCCTAATGCAAATTACCAAAAAAAAAATACATAAGAAAGACACCCATTATCCTCCATGACAGGCAGGACAAATTGAAAAGGAAAAGGAAAAAAAAGGGAAAAAAAGAAAAAGGAATAAAAGATGTATACCAGGAACAGAAATCGAGAGTATTGAGCAAACAAAAATGGTAAAGTTTGTGAATGCTCTTTTCCCTTCTCAATTGCAATGGCCTGTTCATACAAGGAACAAGCATCCTCTAGATTTCCCTACAAAATTGACCAAGAAACAGCATATATCTTAAAGACACTTGTACAATAATTTTCAGCAAGATAATAGCAACAGTATCCAAGAAACTTACAAATCGATGTTCCATATTAGCATGCTTTATAATGGCCTCCAGAAGCCCTGGTGAAATTTCAGTATGTACAAGTTGGTAAGCAGATCGAGCTCCGGCAACATCTGCGTGCTGCTCTCTGAAACGAGCTGCAAAAAGGTGAATCTCTGGCTGCCTCTGTTCATATAAAAGTAATAATTCAGACCAATTAGCATAATGAACATAAAAAAAGCTAGTTTGCAGCCGCAAGTGAGACCTAATTGAGTTGAGGCACTAATATGACAATCACTCTTTCCACAAAGGAGCACATTCCAACTAGAAAAGAAAAACAGACGATGCATATCTTGCTTAGCTTAATTATATAACATCTCCAATCCATACAGCTACACCTTCTTCTCACGTACCATATGTGATAAACTCATAACATAGAACATTGAACCAGAAAGCCAGAGAAAAGAAAAAGATGACAAGTAGAACTACCGCTTATTTTTGCATTCCAAGTAATTGCATACACAGATGCATATAAGTGCGCGCACGCCTTTGGGTTTGGGGGGGGTGGGGGACAAAGGAACCTCAAAAATATAAACTTTATAGCTAAAACATTTTTTCTCTTGTGTGTGTTTTGGGAGGGGGGGCTTTATATCGAGTTGATAAAACAACATTGCGCATTCAAAAAAAAACCACGAAACAACCATCCATGAGCACAGAGTCAACCTACAATTAAATTGTTCCAACACAAATCAAGTTGCAAAAAAATTGAAACAAAAAACTATGGAAACCTATACCTTGACAAAGACTTGAGTAGCACGTGCAAGAGCATTCTCAGCAAGATCCATGCTCCCACTAGCTTCCATGCATCGAACATATCGGATCCAATACTCAGGATAATTAGCGCATGCTATCAAGCATCTTTCATATAGCTTCACAACCTGCCTCACATAAAGTTGCACATGGATGAACAAACTTATATCCATAATTAGAATATAAAAAGCTCAATATGCAAAAAGGGAAAGAAAATATGAGATTGCAAAAGAGTACTCCTCTCTGGAACAGGGAGGCCCCTCTAATATGAAAGAAGGGGCCATCCTTGCCTGATAGATAGATGGTTAGGAAGATAAGAACACACCTGCATGCATAACATTGGAACTTTAAAACAGATATTTTACCATACAATACATGATGAACCCAGAATGTCGACTCACAAATGAGGGTTTGAAGTACTTAGCCTTAATGAAAGCAAATGGAAGGCCCATGCTTTAGCCCATGTTCAATATCCCGTTTTAAAAGATGCTTCATCCAACGTTTAGCCAATAAGGCATATGATGCGGCAGATATTTCTTAACTGTAAGTCAATGTTTAACAAGGGCAACTAAAGCTACAAACCAATCAAAAACTCAAATTCATCTAAAATACACCAACTTGAAGTACCTTACTGAGGTCACCCACTCCTTCAATAAAATGCAGATAATTATGCCAATTTTCAAGCTCTACCCCGCTAAGGGGCCGCACATGAAAGTATGGCCTCCGGATAGCTGTTTCAAAACCAATGATCTTAGAATCGAACTCTTTAGCTTTCTTATACATCTCTTCCCTAACGGCAATATACTTCTCCAACTCCTCAGCATCTTTTAAGCTCGCACTTACAGGTTTAGAAGACTGCTCCACAGCATTAGGGAGATTTTCTCCCTCAACTTCTTGACCACCATTTTCAGAATTTTCAAGAGCTGCAGCAGCAGCTTCCTCACCAGTCCGCAACTCAGAGAGAGGCCGATTAGCAACAAGCTCCTTGAAACTGCAGATGTATTGGCACCCGAGGAATAAAATAAAACATCGGAACTTTCCCTTCAGAAAAAAGATGGTAACCACGAATTTTGGACCCGTACAACACATTATTGTTTCTAAATGAGATATCTATTGCACATACAGTCTGAATCAACAGACACATTGGAAATTCACCCACTCCCAAAACAAACACAAAATGTAAAAATACATGCTGGATTCTGAAACGTGTTTACTGCTAAAAAAGCAACATAAACACAAATTGTCCAATGCAATGAAGAAATCAAAGCCAAAATGTTTCATTATGCAGGACAATGAAGTTGACAGATTGGCTATGGAATGTTTATAAAGTTGTTCCTCTACCTATGACAAATATGGAACAGAGGATGTGACATATCCGCAGGGTTGACAATTAAAATATTATGTTGTAAAATCTGAAGAATTCTTAAAGAACAAATTGTGAAGCTCAAATGGATTTAAAAGAATAAACATTTGCTACAATGTATCCAAAAATAAATAAGGAAGAGCTACATGACCAAATGTATTAATCCAGGTGACATAGAAGCGTTTTTTCCCCAATCTCAGCAGACAAACAAGAAGTAGACATTCTATGCATGCAGGTCAAATAATTAAACAAGTAAGATGTGTCTCCTTCAACCAATCTCTCTTTAACTCCTCTTATCATATTACTCTCAGATTATCCATTCACATCTAACAATACTTTCAGCTCATTCAAGAGAGGAAAACAAAAAGACAAACATGAATGAATATTAACAAAAAAAAAAAGATTTAAAAGGATATTTCACAATACAACATAAATACTTGAGTTTTTGAGATAAATTAGGAGTTATAGTAGATGGAAAATAATGTCAAGAGCCAAATCACCAACTGAATGTGAGATAGGTATGGATGTGTGTGTGTATATAGACATGCACATTCACAAAAAAGGGCATTTGAGAAAGTAAAATCACCCTTCAAAGTAGCGATCTAGCTGCTGATTTGGATTCTCCAGTACACGTGTGTAGAGCAAAGCAACACGGGACCAGTCCTGTTGTGTGTATTCGTACTCAATATATTTATCCCACAGAGGAAAAGAGAGGTAATCAGTTCCAACATAAGCTAATCCTCTCTCAAAGAGTCTGCAACATCATGAGTAGAATGTATTGTTAGAGCATATGGAATTGAACCAGGGCATGCTGCATATATCCACAAAAGCACTGGAATAGCACTAACATCAAGGCTGAAGCAAGAATTCACTCAAAGAACACGTGACACTTCCAAATACCTTCCTCATAAAAATCATACAAGGTCCGTCAAATGGAGCAGTAACAGAGGCCATCTTAGCCTTACTGGATGGATCTCCTCAGCGACAATTTGTATAGTCATGCACCCCAAGTGCCAAGGTTAAAACAGCAAAAATTCATGGAGTATACATGGACTACGACACAGCTCTAAGGTGAAGTAAACAGGAGGTGCAGATGAGGCCAAAGAACAGAATAGAAGCTAACAAAAGACTAATAAATCAAGGGATTGCACGTCAGAAGAGCCATATCTCTGAAGTGCATTCCCCACAAACCTTACGCCATAGATGGGAATAATTGCTGTTGCAGAAATGCTGAAAGCATGTTAGAGAGCAACAATCCATCACTTGTACCATGTGACAATGGATAATATACTGATCATTCCAACAACAGAAGTGGTACTAAAATAAGTGAAACTATTAATGACAATTACCTTCTTATGGTCTCAGGATCTCCATACGTGCTTATGGCAAATATGCAGTAATGCAACCACATGTCAACAGAATATGTTACACCTTGAACAGCTCGTTCATAGACCTCCACAACTTTGTCCATAGAGCCGAGGCGTGCTTCATGATCTGCATATTTCTTCCAATAACCATAACACAGAGGAAATTCCACAAGAAAAGCATCATATACTTTCCGGATCTTCAATATGTTACCCTGAAATCAGAAAAACCAAGCAAATATCAGATTCAGTAGAGAATACCACCCCACGCCATCCAGGCAGCAACAGATATGGAAGATAAAAACTAAGGCACTCTTTCAATGATGACAGGTACCCCTAAACATGCTTGTCTTAATAATGTACTCTTATTTTACAGAAAATCTGTTGGAGAGCCTTTGTTGTGTATTGATGATAGCAGGATTTACTAGACTGTAATCACGGACAAACCTCTTCCTTTATAATAAACCCAATTTAGTGCAGAATCAGGAACCTATTCCTTTTCCATTACCTCACTTAAGACTCAAGATCCAGTCAGAATGGGAAACCGATATATAAGTAAAGCTATGACCCCTAAAAAAGGTAATAAGTAGTTCTCCAAAGGACAATCAGCAATCTAAGCATAAAATTTTGCAATTTGTATTCAAAATATAGTATATCAGAAGCTAATATTGCCAATAGAAAGAACGTTCCATCCAAAACGCATTCACCAAAGGAAATACCTCAGACATTTTCTCTGTTTCCTCTATAAGAGCAATCCATGCATTAAAATCTAAAGAATTAGCTCTAACAATGCTCCATAGACGTTCTTCCTCATCAGATAATGCTGCAAAAAAAATTCAAAGGAGAAAGTCAAGAAGACAAAACACATGAACCAGCTAGTGCAACCAAAACTACGACAAAAATAACAGAACACTGTAGATAAAAAGAATCAATACCAGTTGTTGAACAAGTAGTTTTGCATGATGACATGACTACATATTCAACTAAGAAAAAGTGATTATAACAATTTACATTTGAGGCCTATGCAATATAAAGAGTACCAACAACAAATAAAAGAGCAGTGCTTAGCAACTACTGTCAAAAAGGATCCATATTCGATGAAACACTCTATTGTACTTTACATCCAAACCGAAAACATAATACACAGGGAAAGATATGTGAGTACAATAAGAAACTTATAGCCAGCCTATTGTCCATATAGACTATGAAGATTAGGTTGTCAATCTACAAGTCTACCATCCTACCAAAGTGAAGATCCATACAAACTGTTTTTTTTTTATTGCAAAAAAAAAGACATAGTCAGACACTGACATAAACCAGTTCATCTTGTGCATAGTAACATACCCGAACCATCAAACAACTCATGTACGACATTAGATCCATGAGTATCATCTGAAATAATCCCATTCTCAGCAACACCAGTTGATGTACTATTTCCCACTTCATTAACAATATTGCCATTTTTAGAAGGATCAGGAAGAGAAGGTTGAAATGAATCAGTTGCACTTGTGGGACCTGAGAGTTTATCGCTAGCTTCTAAACTGGAATTAGTACCAGCTACGTGATGGGAAGCACCTAAATCAGAGCCATCAGCAATATAATTGGTTAATTCTGTGGCACCAAAAGAAATATTTGAATCTTCCATAGTAGTTGTTGCACCAGTGGCAGTTAAATCCTCGACATTCTTTGTGGCAGCGGCACCAGAAGCATCTGAGTTGGTATCATTGTAGACAGGAGGATAACCAGCTGCTGTGAAGGCTGTCGCAGAAGATGTTTGAGCTACAACAGCTTCACTGTCAGCCATAATAGGAAAGAACTTGTACCCCCTTGGAAACAGACTAAAATATGAACAAAAAATATATTTCAGAGAAAGAAAAATAAAACAGGTCAAAATAACACTTCAAGCGATATGTTGACATTGCAAAATGAAAAAGTCATAACTAGCAAACCTACAAAAGAAGAACAAGGTTGTCCTTCTAGCCAATCCTGTTAAGCAACCTTTTTTATTAAAAAAAATCTTTAAATTAGAGGCTGAACTAACACAGATGCACATGCACATGCACACTAACACTAGAGTTTGCAGGTTTATTGAGTTAAAGAGTTCAGAAAAGCCAGCTTGTTTTAACCAGCAAAAGAGCACAGACTTCTTACAAGTATCCAGCGTTTTCAGTATACACATACAAGTCCAATTAAGTTGTTGTAAAAACCTATGTTTCATTATTCCTGACATTAGGAATGAAGAAAACTTGCTTCAAGCATCTTTTTCTGAATGTCCCGCCTCATTGGAGGTACATCAAAGAAAAGAAATAAAAAGGCAATTTTTCAGTTTATCATCAGAAGCGATGACATGCAGCAATAGATCACAAGCACACAGTTCATTCACAGATAAGACCAAAAACACCACATAACTTTCAACGCAAAGGACTTCAACAAAGGAACACCTTTCTGCACCAAAGATCAAGCACAAGGAATTTAAAAAGCATGGCCGTTTCAAGGATCACATTTACTCCTTTCTATTTGACTCCTATGGGACATAATTTCTTGATAAAATTTGTCATACAACAGGGAATGCTAAAATACCATGATGTCCTAAATTTAAATTAATGGATCAAATCTTCTTGCACTCACGAAAATTACCGCCTTCAATGCCACCAAATATCCTCTCCCTTCCTCACTCGACTCTTCTCTTCTTCCTCTCTTCTTCTGCAATTTTCCTGGTTCCATCCGTTTATACATTCATGCGTCCATGAACCGGGGTTTGTACATTTATTTGAACTCAAGCTACTGATTATTATATAGAAAGATACCAACTACTTCAAGCTCAATTTAACACGAGTCTTGGATAATAAGGACTGAAGTATGGCTCTGGATTTGACATTAGCGAACACCCTTCTTTTCATCTCTCCCCAGAAAAGCAAAAGCAGCTTAAAAAAAAGTTGAACGAAAGCAAACAGACATAATATGCGGGAAGAATCGGTGAAAATATGATGGAAAAAAACACAATGTCTCTCCCACATTTCCTCTCCACGGTCATAACATATCCCTGTGCAGTACTAGATAAATCTCAATAATTAAACCACCAGTAGACAATTTAATAATCAAACTAAAAGTATACGCATACGTAGTCTTGCTGGACGCGGAACACCTAGGGTTTAGCTTAATTAAACACAAATACGAATCTAATACTAACAAACAAAATTAACCTGTACGAGCAAGAAAGAAACTCAAAGAAAACAAATCCAGAAAAACAATTACTAATCAACTAAACAAGTTGGTGGGGGGAGGGGGGGGAACGAAGTTTCATTTAAAAAAGAGAAAGGATTTGTCTCCATGAACAGGCGCAGATTTAATTGTTCAATTCAAACTAAGATAATTTGAAAGCAGGACGTAAGAGCGTTGCCTACCTACCAGTGAGTGATGGCGATAAACTACCGATGAAGTTTCGAGAGCCTTGGGAGAATTGCGTGCGAAAGGTTTTTGAGTTTTGTCGTTGAGGTATCTATTCTACTGCAAACTAATGGAAATGAAGAGAAGGGGGGAAAATTGAGTTGAGTCTTGGAGATATAGGGCAACGAAGTTGCGGTTTATATCGTCATTGGGCCATGCCGCAATCCAGCGCAAGCTGCTTCGGCTGTTTCTTGTAGACTGGATGCAAGTTGCGTGGGAGTAATAAAATCCGGGCCCTTCGGATGTACCCCGTCATCACTTACATCGGGTTGGATCTTGATTGTCGACCCGCCAAAGGCCCAAAAAGCACAACACACACATATATTTAGATGATGATTATGGGGCTAGTGTTGCCCTATTATTTCACCTGGTTTTATATTTTAGTCTTGAATGATCTTTTTTTTTAAATATTCTTATTTGCTTTTGCATTTGTATTTTATTTATTGCAAATAAAAAGGCTAAATTATAGAATTAATCCAAAAGTAGTTTTAGTTGATTATGGTTTTTCCCTATAATCACTCTCTAATTACCTTTTGCAAAAATGTAAAATGAGCAAAAAACATATATGTTAAATTCACTATCCAATCAAATTTTTCTCTATAATTACCCACTAATTAATTAGCTTCTGCGCGATATTTTTTGAAGTTCACGCAGTTCTCCTCTTGCGCAGCCACATCTGAATTGCATTGACAATTTGTGTTTTAGTTATTGTTTGGTATAGCTTCATTGCAAACTAAGGCCCTGTTTGGCAGGCAAGTTTTTTGCCAAGTTTGTCTGCTACAAGTTTTTTAAAAACTTTAGTTATAGTAACCTTAAAAAATTTCTAAAAGTTTTTAAATTACACATTTCAAAATATTCAAAAATTTACACACTTCAAAATTTTTTTAAAAAACTTCTATAGTAAACTACAATACAGTTTTTAACAAACTCACTTATCAAACGGGACCTAAATATAAAAAATATGTGAAGGATGTATATAGCCAAAAGAACTCTAATATATATATATATATATATTGATGTTGTGATTTGTTCCATTTAGCCCTATGCTTGTGGTATCTTAGCTAATAATTCAAAGATAATGACAAAAATGGTAATCCTTTCTATTGCACCCAAAATACTTTTCTTATCTTAATTTGTTTTACATGAAAAAGATAGTTAATTATTATAATTAGCGGTGACAATCAATCAATTTCAATAGTAGTTTCAAGTTTGAACTCAAAGGACATTAATCTATACTAGAACTTCAACTCAACAAATATCATATTCAAATACACGAGATCCGCTCAATTAAGTTTTAAAGAATTTGAACTCACTCGAAAAAACAAAGTGAGCTCAATTGCTCAAATAAGAATTGATTCTTAAAACATTTAGGTAATTCCACCATTATAAAAGAATACGAACATATGAAAAGCTCAAAAAGCTTATGAGCTCTCGAGCTAAATACGTAAAAATTTGAAATCGAATCCAAAAGGGTTTCAAACAACTCGAGTTAATGTTCGAAATCGACTTGAGATGAGGTTATCTTTGAAGTTGCAGTTGGTTTTGTTGTCACCCCAAACAATTATTACTGCGAGGAAATGGATATTTTGCTGTCACAAAGAAAGAGCCAAGAATGCGAAGAAATAAGAAGGACAACAAGAACATCGAATTATCGACCGGAATGAACCTGGGCAATAGTTTTTGGGGGCGGAACTCTAATTAATCCTTACTGTGGTACTTCTACAATAAAAGAGTACCCTAAAATGTAAAACCCCACGAGCCACGACACCCTCGTTCGCCACCTAACGCCTCGCAAGGTCCTATCCTACTTAAATCGCGCAGCCTCCTTAGTCCTTCCCCAATCTTACTCCTCCCATCTGAGTTCCTTAATTAAAATTCAAAAAACAATTCAATGTCGTCGGCCAGAATTAGTGGAGGTGTTTCTCTGCCGGATAGAGGATCCAGCAGCAAGAGCGGCGGAGGTGTAATATCTCGAATGGCGTCATCGTTCTCCCAGTCTCCGGTGGTTTATCAAGGCAAGCGCGTTGCCTCCGATGCAGCCTTCGTTACTAAGAAGCTTCTCAAGAGTACTGGAAAGGCCGCGTGGATTGCCGGGACTACTTTTTTGGTCCTCATCGTTCCTCTCATCATTGAGATGGACCGCGACCAGCAGCTCTCCGAACTCGAACTTCAGCATGCCAGCTTGCTTGGTTCCTCTCCCTCCGCATCTGGACCCCAAAAATAAGCGATATCGAATAGCTAGCTAAGTTCACTATTATTCGATGGCCAATTATTTTGTTTCCCCTTTTTTTTTCTCTCTATATATAACAAACAAGAAAAAAAATAAAACTTTTTGACGGTTTTAACCATTCCAGAATCGTGGCTTTGTATTTCTATGCGTGAATTTGGATTTTTTTTAAAAATTTAATTAGGGTTCCTTCAGTTTGTTGTGGATTGAAAAAAAAGTTACTGTTGAGTTGGTTCCAAAACGAAGTAGTTGCCTGCTTCAAATTCGGCTTTAACATATACTCGTCGTTTTTTGAAATGTTTGCTATGCCTGCAATATTTGCTTGTAAGCATGTTTGCTGCTACATAAATCGAGTGATTACTCGTGGGTTTTTAGTTGAAGATTGGCAACTTTGAATTAGCGTTAAGCTCATTTGAAGGAATAGATGCACTGGGAGTCTCTGGGACCATGTCTTGAACAATTTATCATCTTTCATTATTTAAGGTTCTCGGAAGACGGGTACTTGGGTAGTAATCTTTCTTACTATCTTGTTGGTTTTTAATGAACTTCCAAATCAATGGTAAAGAAGTAACTTCTAAGATTCGAAATGTGGAGAGAGTTCCAACATTTGTAATACTTACATTCCATACATTTTGTTCAGTTAGAGCAGATTTAAAATTTTTGCAAATAAACTAAGAAAAAGGTGCCTAAAGGTAAGCGCGTACCCATCATTGGTTCCATGAAGTAGCTTATCAACTTGTTCTGAGTGGGTTATCTCTAATCTTAAGCTTTGTTGGTAGGGGAGAGAGTGATTACTAATCAGAGACAAGTTACATCCCAGGAAATTTTTGGTACGGACTGACAACTTACTTTTGAACTCACCCTTGACTTGTTTTGTTACTCTAGCTGTTTGTTCTCAAAGAACCAGCATCAAGGTACTCATGTGTAAGCTGGAATCATTTACACCCTTACTAAGGAGTCCGATTGTTGGTTGAGATGATGAGTTAGCTTTTGGTTTTAGTTCCTGATGTGCCGGAGTTTGTCCGTCAAACATAAATATTTTGTTTCTCTTGGGCAATAACCTCAGGATTATTGCGTAACGCTGGTCCAGCAAACTGTTACCTTTCTTTGGCTACAAGGACAAAACCAGTTATCTATCATTTTTCTATGGTGTTGTATTCTTGTTGGTTAAACCATTGCTTTTGCTGTGCTATGTGCAAGAAATCTTCACTAGATTGTTGCTCAAAGCGTCACGGTATGATTCCTGGCCTATATGATCCTTCCTTTTAGCATCCATTCCCAGGTTGTCGTGTACCTGTATCTGCCATGGGGTAGACAAAGTGGTTTGCCCCTCACCTGAGTATTTTGTAGCTGAAACAACAATCAAACGTAAAAGAGGACACCATCCTCTGTATTGGAATCGACGAGCACCAATAGGTTTCTTAAGGTTGACGGTCTGAAAAGTTTCAAATAAACGTAGTACAGTACAAAACTCTGATTGATTTGGGCATCAGCTGTTTTTAGCTTACACATTTTGCAGCTGCCATTTTGGACAAGCCATGTCTATTTTCTGGGTTGAAACCAAATATCCCCTGGCTCCTTCCTTCTGCAGCTACTATCTGTTGAAACAGTGCTAGATAATTCCCGCAGGGAGCATCAGAGCAGAATATATTTCTTTAGCCGTCTAGACTTCTAGGTTACCCGGTTAAAACTGCTGTTTTGCCTGTGGCTGGTTGGTGATGGTTTACCTGCTGCTGCAAGTTTGGACTGCAGAAGAGGAGTAAAAGGCGAGAAAGATTAGGTGCTGGGCGACTTTTCTGTTTATCAGAATGGGAAGATTGTGATTCGTTACCGGTTAAAAAGAAAATAAAAAGGTACTGGTCTGGAGTCTGGACCTCCCTTAGGCCAGCCAGTGCTGAAAGAAAGAGAGGATATCTACACGTCTCTTAGGGTCGATTAACTTTTTGAGAGCTTGAAATAATACCAAATTAGGTTCCAGTTAGGATTTAATGTTTGTCCTCTGCGAATGATTGATTGGTTCTGAAAGGGCATGAAACGCATAAAAACCATCTGTTGAGCGTCCGCTTGGAGCGACAGTGGAGCCCCTATGGCTACCTCATTCTCAGGCCCATCGGCAAAGCAGTTTCCACTTACCCGCGGTCACTGCTTCTCTTCTTTTTCAAGTTTTGATATACTTTAGGACTTTTTAGGTTGCCGCTTTAGAAAAGTTATAACAAAGCAGAGAAAAAGAAAAGAAAACATCTAAAAGCAAGTGATGAGGAGATGAGCAGAGAGCTTTGTCCCATGTGTGTGTGTGTGTGTGTTTTTTTTTTAATAGTGAGTAATAACAGAGCATAAAGGAAACCATTCAGCCAACAAGAAGGAAAGATCTGGCAATTGATTTATTTTACTTGAGCATAATTGAACCACCAAAACAGTAGTAATTTTCACTGGGATCTTCTTTTGTCTATAACATTTACTTTCCTTGGGAGCATAATTGAACCACCAAAAGAGATGAAAATCATTTGCTTTTCCCAGTGTGAAGTGGAGAACCCAGTCAAGCACTTCAAATCGTAAAGGCACTGCCAATTCACATGTTTGAATCAATAATAATATACAGCTGCTGCCAGGAGGACGATTGCCAATCAAACTACAACCGATGCCTAACACACAACTATCCTTGATTAGTTAGTTTCCCTGTGCAGCAAGTATGATATAGAGACAGCTGTCCAGCTTTTGTGAGCAAAACAGAAAAGAAGAAAAGACGCGACAACTTGGATGAGAAGAAAACTCTGAAAGGCTCGGTTCCACTGCCTGCCGCCACCCTTTGCCTGGTGCTTTCTCTTTAGGATTCCCCTGTGAATATACACACTCTCTCTCTTGATTTTGAAGACCTACAGTTTACACCTCTCTTTCTGCCAATTTTTTTTCCTTCACTCCTTCCTTCTTTCTTAATAATCTGCAATAATGAATGGACAGTCGCAATCACAAATCAACTAATAACAAAAGGACGAAAAAAAAAAGGGTGATAATCTGGAACCCTAGAGATAGAAAAGACTCCTACTCGAAGCATTTTGATTCATCGCATTAATATTAATATATTACTAATATAATGGTGCACGACGGCAATGCTACAAAAACTAACCTCCTGTATACTTGGGCCGACCTTTTTTATTCAGTGCTGATCTCACAACTGAGAGAACTGCAATTACCAAGCCAACCCCCACAGTCCCTCCCAACACAATAGCCACCGTCTTCTGCGTGTTTGGCCCTGTTCCTACACCAGTCCAGTCAAAACGCACGCCACAGAATTAAATAGTACTAAGCAGACTAGTATCGCTTAAACATCACATTTGTCATTTGTACAGAAAGATAGTAGTGATAGAGACATCAACCAACCATCATCCTCCTCATTATTTTCTTTCGTTGGATCAAACTTAAATGATACTACTGGTATCAAATTTCTAAGCCGCGCCGCGCCACTAATAAATTCAAGATCAATTAACAGATGGAAAGCTATCAGATTTCCCTTTACAGAGAGTATCATGTATTTACCTCCTGATCCCGACGATGACAGTGATCTGGGGGGCACCCCATTGGGGTAGTAAGTGTAGCTAACATAGCACTGTTGAAGATATATCTGAGCTGAAATAGAGGCGGGGCATTCACTTTTAGCCCTCTGGCTGGCGGCTTTCACGCAGTCCGCGCAGTCCCCGCTTGCTAGATCGCCTTCACACTGGCCCAACACATACACCGACTGGTACCCACCCGTGTAAAACCCATTCCCACTACTCCCCACGCCCTTGCCTATCTCCCCCAAAGCCGCGTCCAATCTATCCTGAAACCCACTCCCACTCGCCTGAGTCGACCCACAAATCTTGAACAGCAACTCGGTGGCGCTCACCTGCCTAAACCCCGACGCCTCGTACCTTAAATAACAGCCTCCCAGCTGAACTCTGACGGCAATAGCATTGCCACACAATCTCCGGGACACGTCCGGGGTTCTCTTCACGCAATTGTTGCAGTCATTACTGGAGAGGTCACCTCTGCATTGGAACAGCCCAGTGATGGCTGATTGGCCCTGACCGCTCGTGGCCTTGTAGAACTTGGTTGAGGAAGATCGAGAGGTCAGGGTGTCCAGCAGATTCTCGAGGGACCTTGAGTAATCCCCAGTCGGGTCTTGGAATTTTTGGTCGGCGCATCCTTTGTATACCAAACTTGTGTAATCAGCAGAAAACCCCAGATTGATGAACGAAGTTAAGAGCAAGATGGAGAGGATGCAAGAGGAACCCATTTTGAAGAACTCGGATGATTGTTCAAAACATCTGAAGTCCTCTAGAAATCTTGGGAAGCAGTACTTGGGGTTATTATTACCATATAGAGGTTTTAGACTTTTAGTGGGGGTTCTAGTATTTTTTATTTCTGGTGGAGAATAGGAACAAAGGAAATATTGACGGGGATTGGAGATCGGAGATTTTGTGATTTTGTGCAGGTTATGGTTCCGGGGCTTGCTTTTGGTCTTTCGCCTTTTTAAGTACCTTCTTCGCTTGTTGCCAGTCCAATTCGACAGTTGGCACACCGTAAGGCTTTTGATCATTAAAATATTTGAATGCAATTAGTTGCTTAATTGAGATGTTTAACATATTTGTTATTTGTTAAAATTTATTTATGATCTATAGCTGCACACAATATCATTAGCATTAGTCGTTTCGTTGCCTCCCAGGTACGAGCGAGATGGTTCCTAAGGGAGATGAAATGATGTTGTCATTTGGATCCGTCTTTCGTTAGTCTGGACTTGATTGATTAAAGTAAAGTCTTCTTGAGCTTTGATCAAGGGTGCTTTTGATAAAATTAAGTCTTAAATCTGAAATTTAAATTCATTAAATTATTAAATATTAAATCTAATACGTTTGAATATATATTATATTCAATGCTTATCACTTAATTTTAAAAACAAATTTTGCCTAAAAAATTCAGTGTCACTTAACTAATTTAGATGTTCGATTTTTTTTTTTTATCAAACGGTCTGAATATGTTAAGATCTGAATCCATTAAATTTAAATGCTAAACTGGATTATCAAACAAGACCTAAATTTTACGAGTTTAAGTTAATGATTGAAAGTAATAAACGAAAGGAAAATATTATTTACATTTTTTTTAATTAATCACATATTTACTATCAATTCAATCATATTATTTTTATTTATTAAAATTTATAATAAAAAAATGATACTAGTGCAAATAACAAAAAATTGAAATGGAATGTATATAACATTTTCCCATGCAAAATGGTAAGAATCTCTTGGTGCACCACGGTACATGCGTATCGGCCCCCGGAGAGGCAGTATTCTCGTTCCTCTGTCACGCCTTCGGCGTGAATCCCTTCGAAAAATGCATCAACTGTGTGGTCGTGGCACTCGTAAATTTTTCCAAGTAAAAATATTTGGCGTATTAGACTATCCCCTTTTCTTCGAAAAAAAAAAAGGATTGCTTTTATTTCTCACTCATCCAGTGCATTTATACAGGGCTAAAAACTCCCATGGTCCATGAATTTTTTATTTAGGGCATCCCCAGTCCTCCAACTAATAAGTGTGATTTTATGATCGAGTAGTCCGGAATGTGTTTTCTCTGAACTTTAACAACAAAATTAGGCGAAAGAATTATAAATATGCATATTTATTAATTAGAGAACAAAATATACATATTTATTAGTTAGAGAATTAAAAGGGTATTACTAGTAAAGTTTAAGGATCATCAAGGTTTTTTGCCCACGTATATATGTGTGTGCGTATGTATATATTACAAAATAAGGGTTTTTAGTATAAACCTTCTCAATATGCTTCGAACTTCTTTATGCCTTTTTTCTTTATTTTTTGTTTATTTTAATACAGTTAAAAACTTTGAAATAGTGGAATTAACTAATTCTAGTAAGAATCAATTTTAAAATTTAAAACTTTTCCGGTATCTCCATGTTAGATGTATCAACTGAGTCTTTTTATAGACTCGTATACAGCACAAGCCAAAATACTGTATTTATATACTATTGTTACATCGTTCAGAAAAAAGAAAAAAAATATTCAAACTTAAATCTGCAGTGTATCAATGCTCCCCCATTTACACGTTATTCCTTTTTTCAATTTCAATTTCCAAAGCCGCTCTATCTATTTGATATGCACGAAGTGCGGTGAGAGTATGCTTGGATAGTTTATTATTTGCACAATTTATTTGATTATATCATATACTCTTTTTTTAATTATCTTTTTATTTTGTATGTATCACATTAAAAAAATACTACACTGTTTTTTTTTTCAAAACTTTTTGTTTCAAATAATCTCTTATCCAAACACACGGTTTTCTTTGTTTTTTGTCTGATTTTGTTTTGTCTAGAAGCAAGATTAAGTATAGTTAACACTGAAAGTGAGTAAACCTTGGTCATGCACAAAGAAAAATTAAGTAGAATTAAGTATACCTTGGTGACAAAACCTACAGTTTGAGTAGTGATAGATTTTAGCTTCTTTAGTGATAAAAAATTATATATAATCGAAGCACAAAAGTAACAAAAAAATCACAAAAATTGACTTTTTAATATTAGAATTTCTAAATAGTTAAAATAATTAACCGAAAACAAACCCAAAGTTCGTCTATGGAGTATTTCATATTTCTTTACAATTTCTTTAACGCTCTATTTGCCTCTTGACATGCTACAGGCAATGGCTAAGCTCCATCAGCAAATTGTGGCTATGATAAAATAAGTCGAGCTTTTCATGTGTATAATTCACGTATTGTGTATGCACGGCTTCGAATCTTCTGTTTCCAAATTAGTCTGTATCCTCTCTGTCCCTTATTTATACAGTTGCCACGTATCTCTAAATTTTTGATAACCCAAACTCAAACAAATCGATAATAATAGATTGACAAGTTTATTCAAACCAATTAAAACAGATAATTCAAAATATTTTTTTATTTTTATTTTAACAAAAAAAAGTCTTGTTGGTCATAAGCGTAGAAATCAACTAAAACTCTTTTTTATTTTTTATCCCAAATCATTTTTTCCTTAAACCCTAACAAGTACTTTAATTTGAGTTATCTATTTTAATTGGTTTTGAGTAAATTTGTTAATCAATTATTATCGATTTGTTTGAGTTTGAATTATTAAAAAATTAAAAATATGTGACAACTGTACAAAAAAAAAATATATAGGATAAAGACTAATTTGAGGACAAAAGATTCGAAGCCGCCCATGAACAGACTAAACATCATGAATGTCAACCCAAGCACCTTAGATGTGCTTCAAATTTTCAAATACAGACACGTAACTGGATACTGACGGTTGACGTCGTTCAGAACGTTATCCAGCTAGGAGAGATGAAGAAAGAGCCCTTTTTCTCTACTTTTCCAAGTCTTCTGCCACGTCATCGAGGCTGAATCCGCATCCAAGCGTGCGTGACCAAGTGCCTGTATGCGGGTGGGCAACCGAGTAAACCGAGAATATCCAAAGCTCCGAAATTATTCGCCCACTTTTACTTTCTTTAACCATGGAAATACCCATGCACAGACGCGCCCCGATTCATCTACTTTCACACTCGCTGCTGCTCCGATCTTCTCCCTCCCAAAATTTCCCAATTTCACTCTCTCTTCTAATTATGCCCTATTTCTCCTGTAATCCCTCCTTTCTCTCTACAGCTCTCTCGCTTGAGTGGCCTGCTAAACTTCATATTTGCCACTCTTGGTAAGGATGCGATTCATGGTATTATATTGTCTGCTTCTCATCTGGGCATTTTGTCTTTACTCTTTTCTTGTTCTTTTTTCGTTGTCTGTCAAAGATATGAATGTATTTATCTGATTCGAGCTTGGAGTATATCGTGGCTTGCCAGATGGATTCATGTTTACTTACATTGCTGCTCTTTAGTAAGATTTGTCACCGTCAGCAACTCATTTATAGGCACACCAACTGTTCGATTCAAGACAAGCACTAGTGCATGTTTAAACGGGAATGGTAAAGATTCAGACTTTCATCTTGCATGGTGCCAATTTCCTCGTGATCTGTAGGGGGTCAGCAGAACATTTATCGTCTAATGGTTGTTAGTGGGTGTTTGGGAAAGAAAGAAAATTATTGCTGGGATTTCCGAGATCCATGCTTATATTGTATGAGTTGAGTTCTTTTGTTAACTTCCCTTAGCGTGGTTAGTACTCTAGCATTGCTGAATTATGTTGAAGTTTATGCTTATTTCTTGAGGTTTTGTTCATGGGATGATTGTTTGACCGCAAAAGGGGCTTTGTTTATGAAGATCATCGAGGGGCTCAGCTTCTTCTCAGCTGTTCTTTGGACTTTAGGTTGAAACGGTTTCCAAAATGACTTTGGAGATATGTCTTAGAGTTTCTGGTATTTTCATATGCAATTTTTGTTATTGTAATAAGCAGAACTCACCACTCGTGGCAAGCAAAGGATGCTGGATGACTTATATTCCATTGTGAAACAATGATACCAGCATTCATAGTTAACATATGTGTTTGATTTGCAAGTGGGGTAATTTATGTAACAGATTTACTTTATCCCAGGCGTTTTATCTCCATCAGAATCTAAGTTCTGAATGGTCCTTGGAAAATTTTCTTGTGCTAATTATAGAGTTTCTTCTTTCCATGTGTCAACTTTGTCGCATTTTACTTATCATACAATTTGTTAGTGATTAATGCTCATAGATTATAAAACATTGGAATTTTATTTTATGAGCATCCAGTTCTGTTTGAGCTGCTTGTTGAGGTCAGCTTGACTCATGGTTTCTCTTTGTTTGGTGGGAAGTGGTGATTTGAATTTTGGCACCTCTCCAAGGCATCGATGGTACTTTGGCTTTGTGCATTGCCTTTTAATTGTTGACACTGGTATAGGCAACATTTGTTGCCATTGTTTCTTGTAAATGCATATGTTTATGATTTTTGTTCTTCACCTGGCTTATGGATTTGGGAAAATGTAGGTAAGTTCAACAATTGGGAAGGCTGCACTTCTAGTTTGCTGGTGTTGGCAATGCCTCCCAATCCTAAAGTTGCAAAAGCCTTTCGTGCTATGCGGGATCTTGGAATTTCTGAAGAGAAAGTGAAACCAGTCTTGAAAAATCTCTTGAAACTGTATGATAAAAATTGGGATCTTATTGAAGAGGAAAATTATAGAGCTCTTGCTGATGCTATATTTGATAGTGATGAAGCAGAGGTGGAGAGTTAATCATACCTTGTTTATTTTATACTTTTCTCAATCAGATTCTTTCATTTGTTTTTTCCCTTTGTTGTATTTGTTCTTCTCATCAACTTCTCATGCAATGGGTTAACTTTTCACTTCTTCTGCTTCAACGGAATCTTTCAGGCTGCAAAAAGGAAGAAGGAGCTTGAGAATAGCAAAGTATGGGCTTGCTTGTATTATCTGTGTCTTGGCTTTGTCTAAGAATTATAATTAGTTTTAACTGACTTTTCCCTCATGTGTGCTTGTTTCTTTGTTTGCTCCTTTTTACTTTGGCTAGCAACAACGAGCTGTGAGGGAACAAGCCCAAGAGCCAGATGACCTTGGACGACCTTTGAAAAAGTTGCGCTCAAATTACCAAGGGCAACCTTCAGAGTGGCACAATAGCTCTACTCTCTTGGCTGCGACTTCTCTCATAACCCCCAAAGATGAGCCAGTTGAACTACCTGAAGAGCAGCCTGAGAACCAGAAGCCACAGATGGTGAGCACAAAGTTATTGAATAATGGAAACAGGATGATTGAGTCCCACCATTTATCATGCCGATCACTAGAGACGAATAAAGGACAGCAACCTGTTTCACCTAAGCCTTTGACATTCAGAGAAAGAACTGATACATCTCAGCCTGTTAGTAATAACCAAAGCCAAATGAATATGACAATTGAATCAGTTGCTGTTCCCCATCCACCGAGTCTTGAAAACAGAGGGAAGGAGGCTTTGTCACCCCATTGTATTTCAGAGAAGAAAATGTTGGAATCTGAGAGATCATCCCAGGCGGTATCCCAGGAGAAAACTGTTGGTCGTCAGATTTTGGTGCAGCCAGAAGAAGAGCCATTAGCTGGTGATGCTCCAGTATATGATCTTCAAGGTACAACTTACCCTCTCTAGTTCTGCAAACTTGTTTGTTTGAGACTGACATTTTTATCGAAGAAAAGTACATCAGTTTTTTTTCACACCCAACATTATGGCTTGGAATACATGAATTGTGTTGCAGGTGTATTAGGTCTGGGATGGAATTTTCAACTCACATTCAGCTTTTAGCTCATGAGTGCGACATAGAAACTTATAACTGCTAAATAATCTTCCCTTCCTGTTTTTTGTGATTGATCAAACTTCTTTTGATGCTCTTGTTGAATTTTTGATGACATGTATGCCTATCTTTCGGGATAAAACTTTTTCACATTATAAAGAATCAAAATTGTTTTTCTTTTTTAATGTAATTTTGTAGTCTACTAAACTAAAAGGAGCTTGATTTATGTGCATATTCAACCGGATAAGTCAAAGATTTTTTTTTCCTAATGTTTAGTTTGTGAAGTTTCTAATGTTCAAGTGAGCATGGCCTTTGGTTTTTGTTTCAATTCCAACTTAAGTTACATGTAGGCATCTTGCATTAGCAAATTAAAAAAGTTTTAGATAGCCTTAATGCATATCAGTTTGCACCTTCTAGCGTTAGATTTTAATAATCTTGATTTTCATAGAGACATCCAAAGAGGGAGTTTCTTCAAGGAAAAGCTGTTCAGAAAGAGTACCAAATGGTTCTGTACCTTTAACAGCAGAACCCCAAGTAGGACAAGATACGAGTAATGGTGCTGCTGCAAAGGTCTCGGATAAATCATCTTCTCAGCTGGAGATTGCTTCGTCATCCTTGGGAGACGTGAAAATTTGTTTGAGCTACAATATTTCTCCCCAAAGACCTGATTTTCATGTGCCTAGTTTAGCTGCGGTAGTTAAGTTGGTCGAGGAAAAGTATCTCAAATCGTACAAAAACCTGGACGCAAACTTCTCCCTCATGAAGCTAATGGAGGACATGTGTGCGGGTGTTGTGGAACTAGGTTTTGACTCTTGTAATAAATCAGCAGAAACGAGTTGAATAAAGAAGATGGGTGATAGCAAGAAGACCTGTTGCTGCTGTTGCTCCATGTCAAGTTCAACAAGATGCCGACGTCTAATTGCAAACCAATTCTCTTCCCTGTCAACATTTTTTTTTAAATAAACATTCGGTTTATCAAGTTCTAACATTCATTCCTTTTACATTAGCGCTAATTGCTTGATAAATTGTTAAATACATGAGAGTCATGCAAGTTGAGTTCTTTATTTGTCTGATTTGTTTAGTACTCCAAGTTTAGCTGAAGAGATTTTGATTTAGTAATTAAAATTAAGGCTCTATTTGGATTAGTCATTTTTTGAAAAACAAGTTTTTCATGTATAATGTTACAGTAATACACAAACAAAACAACCTTAAAAATATCAAAAACAATCTTAAAAACACCAAAAAGAGCCTCAAGAATACCAAAAAGTCTCAAAAACATAAAAAGTACCAAAAACAACCTAAAAAAATAATTTCATTTACAGTAAAAATTTTTCACCTATGTTACTACAGTAAAATATTTAAAAAACAGCTACTTCAAACGAAGCCTAAGACTTTAGAAATTAGAAGTTTTGGATTCAAATTTTCGTTCTCATTATCTTTTACTTAAATTTTATTATTCTCTTACTTAACAAAAAAAAAAAAATCTCTATACTTTTGATATGTTTACTCAAATTTAAAAAATTTTAAAAAAATAAAAAGGTGTTGGCCTTATAATTTTATATGTATTCAAGTGATCACCTAGTTAGCCAAGCTGTCGGCATGAGCTACACTTCTAGAGAGAAAACTGGGGGATTTGTTTCCTCTTTTGGTGAAAAAATGGAGCTCCTATCAGATGGTGCTAGGAGCCTAGGACATGTTTATCTCATCTCACACCAAATAAGGGTGACGGTTTCATTTGTCCAAGTGCTCTGCCACATCATCCTAGTTAGTCAGCATGAGACAATTATACATGATCTGAAGTGCCGTTACGCGCGTGGTATGTGCATTAAGAACTGGTGTGCCATGCAAGTAATTTTTTTTTTGGTGCTTTTCCAAGCGTAGGGTGATTGCAATTTTTTTTTTCTAATTTTTAAAAATATTTTTCATAAAAATATTTTTAATAATATTTTTACTTCACCTATATCAAATAATTACAATATGCTTTTCTTTATTTTTCTTTTAGTGCTTTTCCAATGTTTTGTGTTATCAAAAAAAAAAAGAACTGTTATTACAATTATTTTTAATGTTTTCTCAGCTTTAAAAGATAGTGGAGGATGGGGGGAAGCGGGAAAGCAGCTAAGATCTTCTTTTGATGGTAAGTTTTTGACAACAAAATAATTAACTCTACAAGATAAGACCATATTACAAGAGTGTAAATAGATAACAGAAAAAAAAAAGGACCTCACATTTTGTTTTTCTATTATTATTTTCTCCATAATCTGATAATTCCCATGAATCTTGTATTTTGTAAAGCATCTCCCAATTTAAACATTTATTGTTTAGCAATACTGATTAAATTCGTGGCACTTGACGTAAATTGAAGCTTTACTTGTTTTGCTTTGATGTCGCATGCAACCTTTTCTTGACACAAAAAGAGAAAAAAGAATTATTATTCACAAGTCTCAAATCCTCCTTTTTTTTTTCCCCTGTAAGGATTAAGCGTCCCTTGAACAAAACTTAAATAAAAAAAAGGAGAAAAGATTTAGGATACGTTTAATAAAATTGAAGTGTGAAAACTGTCGTCACTTTTCATTAAATTATTGAATTATTATGAAAACTTGTAAAATCTAAAATCTAAATTCATTAAATTATTGAATTGCTAATCACTCCCACTAAACATGATTCAATTGAATGTATGTTACACTAAGTAATATGTGAATAGTGTATCAATTACTTTTGAAAATAAATTTTGCTCAAAAAATTTAGTTACATTTAATTAATTTAAATTAATTCAAAAATTCAATATTTTGCGCATTTAAAATTAAGATCTGAATTCATTAATTAAATATTGAATTGAGTTATCAAATAGCTCCTGATATCGCAATTAAATTGTATACTAGTACCCAAAAAAAAAAAAAGAGAGGGAAGGGAAAGCATCCAAAGCAATGTAGTGGGTAAAAGTTAATCCAGGATGAGGATGCGCCCCCTGCATCATTGCTGACACATTGCTGCTGTTCCACCTCCTCCCTCTCAAAATTACTTCCGACTGCGTAGCTCCCTCTCCCGGCCTTGTTTCTTTCCTTTTAGTTTCTTTTTCTCTCTTTACAGCTGTCTCATAGTCATTCACACCCCAGTAAGTAGTAACCAGCGCACTCCGCTACTAAAACCGGCAAAGATTAAGTGTTAGCATTGTATCGTCTGTTAGACTGTTTCTTGGCTTGACAACTTTTAGTTTTAATATTTTTTTTCTGTTTCGTTCTTAGTCAAACTAATCAAGCATTTGTCTAGTTTAGCTTTTGTACTATTATTGTGACGTGGGTTTCGGATTATTCAACTTATTCCCATTCACATTGTTGTTAAGCTTTTTCTTCCCATTTTCAATTTTAATTTGTATAGGGTTTACTGGTACTAAATTTTCGTTCTTTTCCAAATTTTTGGTCTGCTGTTAGGTTATTATTTCGCACGCCTAACCGTTTGTTTCCAGAAAAACTTGATTACAAGTTAAAAAGTGCGGATTTCTTTGTTGCATGTTCCCCATACACTCCAATCTCGTCATTCCGGCAGAATATTGGGTTTTAATTTTTATTTTTTCTGACTATATAGATGATTATTTTTTAACTATTGGTTTTTAGGATGGGGGATGTCGGAATTAAGTCTAAATGAAAGCTGGAGAAGAAGGAAAATGTTGTTTACTTTTCCCTATTGAGTCGAGCTGTATAAATATTTTTTTCCCTTGCAATTGCAGTGGTTTGGATGGATTTCATTGAATTTTGGTTAAAGTTTTGCTGTTTTTTATAGTGTGAGGTTTATGCTCATGTCTTGTGGTACTTTTCAGGGCCTGATTGTTTGACTATCTTCAGGGGGAATTGTTTGTTAAGATCATTTAAGAACTCAGGTTCTTCTCAGCTCTTCTGTGACTTTAAGGTTGAATTTTTTTTTATTAAAATGATTACAGATTTGTCTCACAAATTGAGAGCTTTTTGGTATTTAATGTTTTGAGAAAAATTCACAATCACTACTAATTTGAACATAGTCTGACAAGTTTTATCTTGTTAAATATGTTGTCCAATTTTGTTAGGGGTCTGTTGACATTATTCTAGTTCTCTGCATGGTACCAGCACCTTTTTGGACTTTACCACTTACTGTGAGCTAGATGAAAGAGATTCTTGGAAGACCTAAAAGAATTTAGTCTTACTGCAATTAACTTAACTTGGTTGAGTTCTGGTTTTACTGGATCTGTTGCTCAGGATGGTAATGTTTGGTATGACAAGAACAAAATGACATTTGGGCAATGCCTATTGTGTTTGATTTGAGTAATATGTGTGAGGAAATCCATTATTTTATCTGTATTGTAGACATAGATGAAGAGCAGAGCTTAACTCTGCTGGTGGATTGGCTATTCCTGTAGGTGTCATACTATTCACCTCTGGCATGTGGTCACATTACTTTATGCTGGATTGGATGTTTGGGCTTGAGTTTGATAAATAGTTAGACACAAAGTTTAATCAAGTACAATTCTTAGTCAAGCTTGAAGAGAGAATCATTTGAATAAAATGCAAGTTAGTCAGCAATAGTTGTGACTTGATAAAGACAATATTAACAAACTATATGTGATCTACTAGTGGTAATGACTCTTGCAGAAAAAAGAACAAAAGTAAGAAGAGTCTTAAATGAGTTTGTTTGAAATTGGACAGAAGCTAAATTAGACAAGGCTATATCTACTCATGTCAGGGTTTGTCACGAATGTACTCGTGCTCCCTTGTTATATTGATTAAATTTTTATTTCCAGTAAAGCTTTCCCAAAGTTTTGGCTCTTGCTAATGGAGAAGGCACGGAGCACTGAGAACATTTTGAGTTAGAAAATGCTTACATGGAATACATTGAATACCATCCCAGCTTGGTCTGTAGGTGTCATTGCTAACTTGGTAAGCAAATGAATGGAGCTTTCGTGCCCATATTTGTTCCAATCTTCAGTTTTTCCCCACCTCTTTATGTAGCGGACACATCTTATATTACAGCTCTACTTCATTTCGCTCAGGATAAATACAAGTCAAAACACCTTCAAAGACTGTAGGAGATCATCTAGATTACCACAACCGCCCCTCGATTACCATATCAGCTCTTCCACAACCGCCCCTTGATTTCTCCAGATCATCTAGAATCAAGGCCTAAAAACTGTAGGAGATCCATACATCATCTATCACGGAGGTGATTTTCAGCCATGAGGAGGGAGCAAAAATGAGGGGTTGCAGCAGGATCAGTGGGTTTGTGGTGGTCTTCTGGGTTGGAGGGGCGGAGGGTGAGTTTGAGGGGATGGGTGTGGGGGAGATGGTGATTTGGGGCGGCAGCGAGAAGGATAGAGAGAAGTGGGGTTGAGGGCTGGGGTGGTGGATTGGAGGGAGGGAGGGTACTAGCAGAGGATGGAATTGGTAGGTAGTGGAAAGGGTTGTGAGGAGTAGGATTGAGGGTGGAGATGAGGTTGGTGTAGCAGAAGGGGTTGAGAGAATGGGATTGAGGGTGAAGACGGGGTTGGTGGCTCACGGGAGAGGGGAGAGGTGGGGTGGAGTGGTGGTGGTGGTGGCTCAGATGGGTCTGTTGGTAGAGGTCAGTTGGGGGATGTAGGGTAGCAGCAGTAGGATGGAGCAATGATAATGGAAGAGATAATTTTAGTCTGATTTTTTCTTTTCAAAAGTTTGGAATCAAAATTATAAAAGATCAGAACCCAATCTACTTTGGCATGGAAATTTGCCAACTTTTTAAAATTCATTCCAAAATTTCAATCCCTATACCTGTTAGCCAAGCATGAAATATGGGAGTAATTATGATCCTTGATTCCCATGCATTCTTACCATGCACCCCCTTGAAGTGTTGGCTTGACAGTTTTTTGCAAAGAGGGATGGAATCAGTAAATGGTTCTTATCTGTAAGAATTGATATGGATTTTTCAAATTTTTTTAGTTGTTTGATATTCATATGGAAAGCACTGGATATCCTGCTCTATCTCAGTGTAAATGCCTCTTTCATCTTAGCATTTCAATCCTTTTTGCTGCTCATTTGATGGTATGCGTCAGTATCTGGTCATAATGCAATTTGGTATCAATGATGTACTATCCATCCATTATAGTCTGCTGTTGCCCATACTATTACTTGCCTCCTAAGGCAATGGTCATTACATTTCATTTTTTTTCAGTTCCTTAATCTAATCTGATGGCCCTTTTGCTTGGAAAAATGGTATTTGTCTTCCATGCTTCAGGAAATATAGAAAAGAGAGTAAATGTAGACAGCATGTTGATTGTTTAGCTGTTCCTTTACTCTGTGTTTTCAATAGCTTATTTTGAAATTGATTCTCTCAAAGAGCAGTTGCAACTAATATTTGCTTTAAAAGATAAGCTCGTGTGGCTTTTGGTATCGCTCAAGCCAGTAATGGTATTTCGGTATAGTGCATCTCCTACAAATTGTTGAGGATGCTAAAAAAAATGTTGGTTGCCATCACTATTAGTCAAAGCCATCTATTTGTCTCTTCTGTTCTTTATCTTGCTTATAGATCTTGGAAGATGTAGGTAACTTGGGCATTGGAGAGGCTGCTCTTGTAATCTGCTGGTGTTATCAATGCCGACCAATCCTAGAGTTGCAAAGGCCTTTCGTGCTATGCGAGATCTTGGAATTGCTGAAGACAAAGTGAAACCGGTCTTGAAAAATCTCTTGAAGTTGTACGAGAAAAATTGGGATTACATTGAAGCTGAAAATTATAGAGTCCTTGCAGATGCTATTTTTGATAATGAGGAAGCGATGGTGTAGTTTCCTTCATTCCTTCTCTGCTACATACTTCTTTCAATCAAATTTTGTTTTTTCTTTTTGTTATTATCTTTCTCAGCTGCTCTACTAAAGTCAATTAAGATTTTAGTTTCAACCGGTTCAACTTAACTTCTAGGTAAATCAGGCTGCACAAAGTAAGAAGAAGCTTGAGAGTTCTGTAAGTATGACACATTTTTGTAATGTTTGCACATTGGCTTTGTCTATAGAATTACTTGCTTTAAAGTAATTTTTCCCTGTGTTTTTGTTGTATGTCATGCCTAAACGTTCTTCTTGGCTAGCAAGAACCAGTAACGGAGGAAGAAGCTCAGGAACAGGGTGAGCCCGCACGACCTTTAAAAAGGTTGCGCTTAAAGTACCAGGGGCAAGCTTCAGAGTCATGCAATAATTCTAATCGCTTGGCCGGGACACCTCTCATAATCCCCAAGGATGAGCCTGTTGAACTACCTGAAGTTCATCCCCAGAGACAGTTGCGAAGCATGGTGGGCTCAACACCAACACACAATGGACATAGGAGTATTGAATCTCAGCATCTATCACGTGAGTTACTTGATAGAAGTAAAGGAAAGCAACCTGTTTCACCTAAGTCTTTGACAATCCAAGAAAGAACTCGTACATCTCATCATGTTATTGCTAATGAAAGTGAAACAAATATCCCAATGACTGTTGGATCAGGCACCGCTCCCCATCAAATGAGTCTTAGAAATGGGAGGATGGGGGCTCTCTCACCCCAACCTGCTTCTGTGGATAAAAGGTTGGAGTCGGAGCGGTTGTCTCATAAAGTATCCAAAGAGAAGACTGTTGGTGTTCAGAGTCTGGTTCAGCCTAAAGAAGAGCCATTCACTTGTGATACACCAGTGTTTGATCTTCCTCTTGCTGTTATCCATCCAGGTATAGCTTTTCTCTCTAGTTGGGCAAATGATCTGTTTTCATAATGGGAAATACATTAATGCTTTTTAACAGCAGGCTTTATAAACTGCACTACATTAGGTGGAATGCAGGTATCATATGTTTGGGCTGGAAAGCACTATTCTTCACTAGTTCTTTCTAAGCAAATCTAGAATTATATAGGGTCATGTTGTAGGTCTTAATGCTTAACATCTTCCACTCTGACTACTTGAGATGGATCAAAATTCTCTGACTATTTGCAGCATCAAGTCATTGGTTAAAAAAAAATTGTTATCGCTAAAAATTTTGCATTTTATGCCTATTAACATTGAAAAGCCCAGATTTACACGTAACTTGTACAACTAATTAATTTCAGACAAGTTTCAATGTTTAGCGAGTGGAATTCCAGGTAAGGTGGCCTGTTTGGTTTCAATCCTAAAGCCTACCATATGCATTATGCTTTTCTACTTTTTTGCTAAGATTGAAGTATCAAATGTATCTTTGGTTCCAGATGTTAATTGTCTTTGTTTTTACAGAGACTTCAAACAGAGGAGACTCTTTAAGGGAAAATAGTTCAATAGAAGAACCACACGATGGCTCTGAACCCCCTTTAATATTGGAACATCCAGGAGGAAAAAGTGTGAGTGATGGAATTCCTAGTTTGTCAAGCGAGACCAGAGTGAACTCCCAGCTTTCAACAGTTGCAGATGGATCATCTTCTCAGCTCCAGGTTGCTTCCTCACCCTTGGGAGAGGTGAAAATCTCTTTGAGCTGCAAAATTTCTCCTGAAAGACCTGACTTCCACATGCCTAGTCTAGATGCAGTAGTAAAGTTGGTGGAGGATAGATGTCTCAGATCATACAAGTTCTTGGACCCAAACTTCTCTGTCATGAAACTAATGAAAGACATGTGTGATTGCTTTTTGGAATTAGGAACTGAGTCTTGTAGTGAATCAGAAGGAAATATGCAAGTATCACCTAGAAATGATGTACTTGAAAGCTTTCCTTCAGGGGATCCTTTAGTTGGTGAAGGTGTGCATTTCCATATGCCAGATGGTTTATATAATGCTCAATCAGAGACTGAGGTTGTTTTCCCCAAAACTTTACAACTTTCTACACCTTGCACTGGGATACATGACTGTGCTCAACCTCATCAAGAAGCTAGTCAGTGTAATAGAATTCATGAGGATACCGAACAGAAAGATCTTGATGACCTGAATTGTAGGAGCTTGGTGGTTTGTCGGCAACATGAGTTAACTCCAGATCAGATCCGTTATCTTCATGATGTCATTGACATAAGTAAGGGGCAAGAGAGAGTGGTGATTTCGTTAGTCAATGAAATAAATAGTGAATGCCCGCCATCCTTTCACTATATTCCACAGAATGCTGTCTTCCAAAATGCATATATGAACTTCTCTCTTGCCCGTATTGGAGATAATAATTGTTGTTCTACTTGTTGTGGTGATTGTCTGTCCTTGTCTACACCTTGTGCATGTGCACATGAAACTGATGGCGAATTTGTATATACAGCCGAGGGACTTGTCAAGGAGGAGTTTCTTAACGAGTGTGTTTCTATGAATCGTAAACCTGAAAAGCACTGCCAGTACTTCTGCAAGGAATGCCCATTGGAAAGATCCAAAAATGAGGATGTCATAGAACCTTGCAAAGGCCATTTAGTGAGGAAGTTCATCAAAGAATGTTGGTGGAAGTGTGGATGCTCTAAACAGTGTGGCAACCGAGTCGTTCAGCGGGGGATAACTCGCAATCTGCAGGTAAACTTTCATTCTGGCTCTTTCTTTCCCTTCTTCACCTCCCCTCCCCTTCCTCCCTCTCAAATTTCATTGTTGTCTGTGACATTAAAATGAATTCCTGTAAATATTAAGCTCTATTTTTTTTTCTAAATTGAGAATTTCAGGTGTTTATGACAGAAGGAAAAGGATGGGGATTGCGTACTCTTGAAGACCTGCCAAAAGGTGCATTTGTTTGTGAATATGTGGGTGAAGTTTTAACAAATGCCGAACTCTTTGATCGTGTCTCACGGAATCCAAAGGGCGAAGTGCATTCCTATCCTGTTCTACTTGATGCTGATTGGGTTTGCGAAGGAGTACTTAAAGACGAAGAAGCTCTTTGTTTAGATGCTACACATTATGGGAATGTTGCAAGGTTTATTAATCACAGGTAAGTCCATGAAAGTGGAAATGCAGTTTACAGGTGCTGCGCCTGCCCTTTCTTAAATGATCAGTTATGGAGTTTTTAGCGATCTCTGTATGTTATTCCATTTCCTCCCAACCCCTCCAAAACAAAGTGAAAAAAAAGAGTAAAGGTTTCTCATGATTGTGGACGTTTCCCAGAATTTGTTGTGACATTGTAAGGTTGCATGTTGTAAAATTCCTGTTTTTCTGGTCTTAGCGAAAATAGAGAACAATGTGTGATTGCATGCTTCAAAACATGGTGTACTTAATGTGTGTCTTTTTCTGGATGCTAGATGTTTTGACTCAAACATGGTTGAGATTCCAGTTGAAGTAGAAACTCCTGATCACCACTATTATCATGTAAGATAGTTTATATGCGTGCTGCGGAGTTAATCCTCTGACTGAGACTTAATCTCTATTTTTCTTTTTGTCTCTTGATGCAGCTTGCCTTTTTCACCACAAAGAAGGTAAAGGCGATGGAGGAACTTACATGGGTAAGTAGTGTTTGTGCTGCTGGAAAAGTACCTTAATAGCAGCTGATTTTGATGGCTTGGGGTTGACTTATAGTTTAGACTAGTAATTTATTAGATGCAAAAATAAACTGTTGGAACATAATAAACCAATATAAAGAGGAGATGCAATGTTCAGGTTGTGGAAACCTCCAACTGGAAAGGTAAAATATTCCAAATGGGTTTATTTCAGATTTTTTTGCTAACTGGTAAAAATGTAATTTTTGCAGGATTATGGTATTGATTTTGATGACGTTGATCATCCGGTTAAGGCGTTTCACTGCCAGTGTGGCAGCAAGTACTGCCGGAACATTAGACGTCCAAGTAGTAAGTGATTGTTTACGGAGGGGCTCTTTCTGATTTCAGTTAGAGTTAAATTAGCTACTTTTAGTTTCAAATTTTAAAAAGAAAAAAGAAAAGAATTATCTTTTTCGTTTGGGCTGTTGACATGCTTTCTACTAGCTTCATTATTTAGCAACTGAGCTTTTAGCATTACGTAAATCCACCAACAGTTGCTACACAATTATTTGAGAGAAGTAATATAAATAAGTTGTATTTTTTTTCTCATTATTCTCATTATTTTTTTTAAATACTTTGTATTCTCTGAATTGATAAGTTATATCCTGTATGGTAGGGTGAAGATAAAGTTACTAATTTAGTTTTTCAATGTAGGCTTCATTTATGTCTTTTCAAAAGGGCCACTTTGAGTCATTACTTTGTTATGATGGTGTTGTCCTCTGGGTCAAATCCCAATAATTGTCTTAAGGATAATGCCAAATGTATAGCCAATTTATTAATGAACTCAGTAGGTTAACAATTAGTACATTGGACTGGATCAATCATTGAGATTCAAAGACTTGATTAGATATCTCATTGCTTTCATTGCAGGATCCAGATCTTCATTAAGGAGATGAACATATGGTCTTCTCCATGACCAGTCTTTGAATTGTGCCTCAATCTTTATTGGAAAATCATACAGGACAGATCGGCACCGCCTTCAGCACCCAGAAATTAACCTTGAAAGGATCCATGTGACTGGCTATGTTTTGTAAATGACCTAGTTTCTTTAATTTTATTAGACGTTTGTGGAGACAGTGATTTTGAGTAGGCTTATTCCAATGAGCCAGTTGTACTTGGGAAGACTAATTCATGAACGTCTTTCTTTTGTTTTGTTTTGGGGGAGGGAGATGCGAATTTTGCCATGGTTCGTTCACTGTCCTGTTCTTGTTGTAAAAATTGACGTTTAAGTATTTACCTTGTTGAGTAGTAGTAAATCTACTGAATGGTAGTTTTCTGTGCAAAGGGAATGTCTACTCTTGTCCATTGCCTACTGCACCTGTTTGATCATTCTATTTGAAATGTCCAAGAAAAGAAAAGAAAAAATCTCACCACCACAGAATTTGAAATGTCCGGCAGAAGCCCTCAATTTTCCCTTCTAAGCATCTAAATCTAGAGAACGAATTTTACTAGCATTAAAACTTTAGGCTTGGAGCACAAAATGCATCTGTCTCTTTGGAAGGCAACCAACTGTTAAAAAAGGAGGAAAAGAAGCAATTGTTTACATTTCCTGAATGGACACCAAATGCATTATGGTATCCGTATTGACACAACACAGCCAGATGAAGAATGCTGGCGCCTACTATCATACAGGGATTAATGATTTAGTCTTAGGTTATTTTCAAAATACATCTGAAAGTTATGCTAACAGTTTTGAAACTTCCCATATACAAGCATGTCAAACAAAGGTATGTACACACAGTGTTGCATGGTAAACTCCGTTAAGCATAAATCTGTACATCATTTCTAGTCGATGAGAGGGATTCCCTGTTGTGGGGTTTGGAAAGCGCTTCATGCTCACAATCTGAAGGTATGATCGGCCGAATGCCACCCGGATTGAGAGGGAAGAGAGTTTTGTAGTAGCCATCCATGATAGCAACAAAATTACAAGTCGCTGCAACCTTTGGAATCTGTTTCAGCCAAAAAAAAAAATGCAGTTTTAGTCCTCCTAGTTGACATCCTTTATGGTGCAAGAGTTATCTGCAACTAACTAATGGTCCTTCTAGTATAATTTTGTGGACAAAAGCCCCATGTTTCTAGCATTCATTCTTTAGGGGACAAACCCCTCAGAAACCTTTGATAAATTACAAACAGACCTGACGCTACTGACTTTGCATCTTTACTATGGAGAATAGAAAGGAAAATTCCACCATCAATTGAATGTTTGCTTGAAACAGATCTTGTGAATCACAGAAACTGCACAACACACTCTTTTCGATAATGATGCATCACAAACTACGGCAGTCTTATGATTTAATTGTCTACTGGTAATACTTTAGGAGTCTTTCACTAACATATTATGTTTAGCTGACATCGAATTCAGAGATACATTTTGTATCCTACTAAGCAATCAATGGATTTGTTCCTCAACTGCAGCATTTATACAAGACATGATGTATTAATTCCTGATGGAATACTGAGTAGAAAGAGCAATTACCTGATAAATATCTCGTAAATAACCATGAAGGTTGCGATACTCAATCAGCTTCTTCTTTGTGCACTTGAACAGAACGTTGTAGACGAGATCAAACCTGATCAATGTAGTAAACAAACATACATCTGCAAGAGTCAATTCATCTCCACACAAGTATCTAGACCCACCCAAATGATCATCTATCATATCCAATGCACTAAACAGCTGATTCACTGCGGTATCATATGCTCCTTGACTTTGTGCAAAACCACACCTGCAAATTCAGAACTGGACTTAAATTAGAAGAGCAGATAGAACCAGTAGTACTACATCGTGTCAAGTGTGGCATTTGTTACCTATAAGCCCCATTGTTGACTTTGGGGTATATAATTTGATTCCATTCATCAATCTTTTTTCTCAACGGAGGCGGTGCAAGGTCTAATCCCGGATTGCCTGCTATCTCGTTCAATCCCGAATTGAAAAATTCGATGATATCATAACTCTCGTTACAAACAACATCTTTTTTCTTGACATCCCAGAGCATTGGGACGGTGGACCGACCGTTATAACCGCCGCGCCTTGAATTATAAACTTGTTTTAAGGTTGTACATCCTTGGGCCTTGTCCGAGGTTGAGACGAGCATATCCCGGTCCGAGACTGGATGATCACTATCCCGGAACTCCCAAGCTCCGTCAATGCCCGGCGACGCAACTGAGACGGGTACGGAGTCTTCGAGGCCCTTGAGTGACCGGACGATGAGGGTGCGGTGGGCCCAGGGGCAAGGGAGGCCAACGTAAAGGTGGAGGTTTTGGCGGGAAATGTTGGAGGAGGCGTGGTGGATGCGGAATTTGGAAGCGGGTCGCGCGTAACTCCCGGAAGGGTCGGAAGGGGCCATCTGTGACATCATGAGGTGCCAGGCTGTGGACCAGGTGGTGCGGACGGCGGAGATGAGGAGCTGGGGCGGGAGGGATTGGCCCCACAGGAGCTTAGTGATGGAAGTTAAGAGGTTGGGATTGGGGTTTGGGGAGTTCTGGTTCTGATTCAGGGACATAGTTTTGACAAAAAGGCGTGCTTTTGTGGGTTTGGTTATGGGGTTTTTCTTGGTCGGCAGAGGTCGAATTGTGAGCAGCGATGAAGTGCAGGAGGAGAAGGACATTTTTAGCCGCTCTCTTTTATTCGTTTACCGTTGTCGTCACTGATCCGATCATAACTGCCTTCTACTGGCTTTTGTGACTGTGAATCTTACACTTACCAGGGCCGCCGCCACGATTATATCACTATCATAGCGCTTTGAAAATGCTACCATACGAAAAATACTCCCTAACAGGTTTGTTTGGAGAGCTGATTATTTTTTCAAATATATTTGCTTACATCATTATTATAATTTTTAATATATTTTTTTATATTTTTTATTATTTTTTCATCTCATATATATCATATCACAAAAAATACTATAGTAAAATATCTCAAATAACTTACAATCCAAACAAAAAAATAACTGCCTTTTAGTTCTAATTACACTTCCACTCCTTGTTTCTTAAATTTCATCCATTTTCTTTAAAAAAAAATTAATCAAAAAAATTTCATCCATTTTTTTTTCTACTCTCTCATGTAGGATTTCACAAAAAGAAAAGAAAAGAAAAGAAAAATAGAAATAAATTTTAATTTGTTTTCTTAGCCTCTGGAGCTATTTATGTCTCTTAGAAACTATTAATAAGTTGTTACATTATCAAAGGGACAAAGTTTGCAGGATATGAAATTAAATAGGGTGTTGAAAATGCTTTCATTCGCATTTTTGAAATAAAGGAAAATAAAAAAGGTACCATTTGGTGACGAAAGAGCCCCCTTTTTCTTATAAATTTAACAAAAAGGAGATTATTCTTTAATACAAAGAAAATTTTAGAGTATTTTCCCAAAAAAGAATTACAGTAAACCACAAAGCCATAGAGTTGGAAAGAGAAATCAAGCCCCAACATACAAAAAAAAAAAGATTAATTTTATATACACTATCACCATTAGATATATGACACATAAATTTAAAATTTGCTCATGTGTCATCCATCCAATTATAATAGCATATATGTGAGAGCCCGTAAATCCCTAATAATTTTCTTAGAATTTTTCCCATTTAAAGGCATAATTTTTGCATTTTCTGGTTTAAGAAAATTCTCCTGGTAAATTTTATGAGTAATTATAGTTTTTAGATGATTTTTCTAGTATTGGAGAGGTTTTGAAAAATTAAGAGTATATAATGGACGTGGGACCCACTAGTGCGAAAAGTTAGGAAAAATTCGGCCAATTAGGTTAAATTCCGGATACTGTGGAAATTTATCGGGTGTTAAGAGATAAGTAGAAGATGTGAGAGGAAAAGAAAGGGATAGACTTGCATTTAATGAAGTGACAAGTGTCACTCTTCTATTGGTTATGACTTATGACTTACTATTCATGTTTTTTGACTTTTGACCCATTTGGTTAAATATCTTAAAAATTAACCAAAATTCACTCATTTCTTACTCCTCCATGGCCGGCTCTCCCTTGAGCAAAGAAGAAAGAAACTCTTCAACATTTTAGCTTCCATTTAGCTCAATCTTCCAAAACCAATCACATAAACTAGTTCTATTCCATAAAATCCTTCCCTTTGGTGCTAGTAAGTGTTCTTGTGGAAGTGTTCAAGGAAGCCAAGGTGTTCTATAACTCCTTTTCTCTTGTTTACTAGATAAGTGGTGCTTAAACTTCCTCCTATACCTAATGATGCTTAATTTGTGCCTAGTGGTAGCTAAAGTGATGATATTTGTGATTTATTTCTTGGTTGGAGATGAATTGGTGAAGTTTTTATTTTATTGATGAATTTTCTGGTTTAATATGATCTGGATGTTGTGGCCTTGTATGATGATTGGCAATGGCCTATAATGACTCTAGTAGGTGTGAATTATTGATAATTGCAACCAATTTTGGGTTTGGAAGGAATTTGAGGAAGTTAGGGTTTCATAACCCCCTTTTCTGTCCGATTTTGTATCTCATGCTTAGAGGCCGATTTGGCCTTGGCTCAAAATATGAACGTTGTAGGTATTGATGTGTTTGAGGTGCCTGTAAAATTTCAGGTCATTTGGAGTAGTGTAGAGTGAGATATGTCGATTTTACTGTAGCTGTTCTGGGTTGATCAGAATGTGCAAACTGTGTTTGTAATCGTCTGTTTTGACTGGAATTGCTTTGGATTTGGATGTTGGTGTCTTCTGATGAAATGTAGCTTGAGGTCTTAGCTACCGCATGCCTTTGGAATCAACGCATTTGGACCTCTATAGACTGAGTTGGACTAATTACAGCATAGTGTGATTTGTAAACCTGCAATTACGGTTCTGGTTTGGTATTCTGCATTTTTGACCTAGTTGTGCTAGGATTTGGACTGAGTGGCCTTCTACATTGTTGTAGCCCTGGTTCTTAGCTTCGAAACAGTGGGTCTTACACTATCATCTGATAATCGTAGTGAAATTGGTGCCACTACCGCAAAATACGGACAAAATTGTGTTTTATTCGGGGCCAAAGCTAATGCCATTTCTTGAATTTCTGGTTACTCATGATGCTTGTATATGTTTATAAAACCCTATTGGGGTTGCGATTGGCATTGTTTTATGACTCGTTATCGAGTCTCATTGTATTTGTTTACGTGTTCTAGGGCGTGACGGTGGTTCACGACGAACTTTTGACCACGGTGTATGAAACACCACTTACTTGATTGGTGAGTATACTACTCACTTAATTGTTACAATGTGGCTTTGTTATATGTGAATTTGATGCCTTGAAGGCTTACTTGACTATTGGAATTGAGAGAGGTGAGGGTGTACTTGACCGCCCTCACCCCTTGTGATAACATTCATGACTGTTTACCGTTTACTGAAATTACTGCAATTGATATATGAGACATTGAATTCCTTCCATGAAAAACTGCTTACTGTATTACTGAGCTCAACCTCGTTGGTAGTCACTTGAATCGAGTCAGCGAGGGCTTGGTCGTGAAAATTGACTAGCCACGGGGACTGAAATGAGAATCTTGTGGTAATGAGACCCTTGGTTCCGGTGTACTCGAGTATCACCTAAAGTTACTGCTTGGAGTGCGGGCCTGGTTGGGGTATGTTGGATGGAAGGAATGGAAGTAAAGTGATGTCTACGGTTTGGTACTTTTAACATTGACGGAGGGTCAATGAGGTTGGATCAAGAATATAAGCGAGGAAATGGGCTCTTGAGAGCCGTCCGTATCCTTTTACCGTTTTGTTTAATTCCTTAATTGTGTACTTTAATTGAAAGGACTTGCTATATGCTCTTTGTTGCTTATGTGGTAGTAACTCACTGAGTTTTAGCTCACTCCGTTCCATTTGTTTTCCTTACAGGAAAATGACTATTTTGGGAAAGGTTGTGCTAGTTGGTTGTCAAGTTGAGCATGTAAATGTATTTTGAATAGCTCCGTGAGGGTGAAAACCCTAAGTGTTTTGTTCCAACCAATGGTTGGTTGTAATTGACTATTTGCACATGTATGGACTAGTTGGATATTTTGGTATGCCGTTTGGCTTGTAAACGTTGAATTTCAATGTATGTATATGTTGGATTGATGTATGGTTGAACCCCAGATTCTGACGTGTCCGGCATTGTTCATCATCGGCGTTTTCCATTTTTTTTCTATTTTATTTTATTTTGTGATTTTGACTTGTTTGCGCGCGTGGGTATGTTCCGGAACGTATTAGATCGACATAAACTGACCCGTTAGTCCTGGCGAGAGTTGGGCAGGCAGTCCGCTAACCTCTTTGGTTTGCCTTGGGGGAAGGTGGGGCTGTCACAATATACATTGACAATGTATATATAAAAAAAAAGAAGAAGATTATTTCAATAAGTTTATACTTTATATCTTTGGATTTCAGAGCTTAGAAATCCCTCGCCCCACCAACAACCATAAATAATACACACATATACTATCTAAGGGAAACTCACAGCCCAATCCAAAAGATATATTGATTTTCAAGCTACACTGAGAATCTTAAGTAGTACACACACACATCACTCGCAATCGATGTGGGATAGAGAAATCTCTCACCCCAGCCTGGCAGATTTAGACCCGTTATTGTTGGGGCGGCCCATGGCCTGATAGCCAGTGGGAACCAGGCCTGCTATACCCTTGGGTCTACATTCTTAACTATCACAACAAGGGCCTAATTAGACCCCGCATCCAAAGTCCTAACACCACCCAAAATCCCACAAAAACCCTAGGCTACTAACTTCTCATATAAAACCCTAGCGCCTCTCTCAACACATTTTCCCTTTCTTCTTACACTTGAGAGAGAGAGAGTGCCAAAATGTCTAAGCGAGGTACTCATCTGATCACTTAAAACCCAGATCAGTTTTTCTCGTTTTGATTTGTATTTAATTATTGCTGTTGTTATGTATAGGACGCGGAGGATCCGCCGGGAACAAGTTCAGGATGTCGCTGGGTCTTCCGGTGGCGGCCACGGTGAACTGCGCCGATAACACTGGGGCAAAGAACCTCTACATCATTTCGGTGAAGGGGATCAAGGGTAGGCTCAACAGGCTCCCTTCTGCTTGCGTCGGCGACATGGTCATGGCTACGGTCAAGAAGGGTAAACCGGATCTCAGGAAGAAGGTTATGCCCGCTGTCATCGTCCGCCAGCGCAAGCCGTGGCGCAGAAAGGACGGCGTCTACATGTATTTCGAAGGTACTTTTTTTGGTTGCTGTCATGATAAATCCTCGCGTTTGATTATATTCAGCAAAAAATATTCTGCTGTATTTTCCTTTTTCCCCCTTTGTTTACTATGTCATATTTGATTTTAGCGAGCTGAGTTCTGTCTGATTTATATTGTGTTAGTTGTACGTAATACTTGAATTGTAGTAGTAGTGTTTTTGGTGTTTGTAAATCCTTGGGAATTTCAACACGGTCATTAACTTTTGTAGTTTATTACGTTTGCTATAGTGTATGCATATTTGCGCGTTTTAGCTCCCTGGTTGCTTCACTGATGAGTTAGAAATAATGGCCACTTGGTTAATTGGTCAACTGTATCAGGAAGCATACATAAATTGATGTCTCTGCCAGTTTCAAACAGCATGATGTTGTCATGTAGCATTGTGTTACCTGTCTGCTGGTATATATTTTCGTGCTCTCCGTTCCGTGGGTGTGGATATTTTGGTGCGAAAAGTCAATTTGACTAGGATAGTAAGTGTATATTTTGGGCAATTCTTGGTGAAGTATGTGGGATCTCTGGCTGATGTGAATTCTTTGTTGCTGTTGTACAGATAATGCAGGAGTCATTGTGAATCCCAAAGGTGAAATGAAAGGTATTCTTCATCTGTTAACTTTTTTCAGTGCGTCTGGCCATTATATGTAGAAGCAGCTGTGTATGTGGATTGCAAAATTTGATTCAACTTTTAAAGCTTACTTAAAGACAAAAGCAAACTCATTTATTATTTTTACAGAAAATTACAGTATTTCGATTTAATGTGAACTGTGGGAACCAATTCTCTCTTGTATCTATGTTGTTTTCTTCATATTGCTTGTTGGCCTTTTAGTTCTGATACGTTCTTTTGATGCTTGCAGGATCTGCTATCACTGGGCCAATTGGGAAGGAGTGTGCTGATCTCTGGCCTAGGATTGCTAGTGCTGCCAATGCTATTGTTTAGCCGACTGAAGTCTTAGTGAAATGAATGTTTTGATTTTAGGATTTTGAGCATGATGCTATTGTTTTGGAGACTTGTCAGTTTTAATTGATTCTCGGAATTTTGTAAGAGCCATAAAGGTATCTTTTTTGGTAAAGACACTACTAAATACTTCTTACAGGTTATTAGCCTTTTTATGTCTGTGGATGGCATGTTTTCGCCCTGTTACGGACGATTGCTTCCAAAATTTTGTTGTGATGCGGTGGAGTCTCTGGTTGCGCAAGCCCTTTTGCAACTTCAAAATGTGGTTCAAATTCAGGCTTAGACTTCGGAACTTATTACCTGAAAAAACTGCAAGCAAGATGTTTATTCCATTTTGCGCATTCATCAAGCTGCATATAAATAAAAATAATAAATGTGGCAAGGTGCATCATAATAATAATAATCGAAAGACAGCAGGGGTCGGTCTCTTGCCGATCCTGATTATGTGCATCTTAATCAAATTGATAAATTCATCGCGCGTTGTACTTTTATCACTGTGGTAAGTATTAAGAATTAGAAATGGTTGTTCATCGACACATCATTGACCTAGGATCAAGCAAAGCAAAAATAGGTTCAGCATGAAACTTATTTTACATAACTATCCTCATCATCTCCGTTTAGCAGGTCATGACGAGACGGGGCTAATTCTCGAAGTTTTTTTTTTTTTTTTCGGAAAATTAACTCGACTCGATGAGCTTTTTTTTTGGGGCCGCTAGAAAGGGCAAAGTGGAGTGTGACAAAGAGTGGGTTTGCTGCGCCACTCTGAAAGCCTCGGGCAACTGTTTAATGCAATTGATACGACTGTAAGCATGGTGAAACTTAGCCGGCTTGATTGAGGCCTGTCCGTCTTTCATATGGTCCGTATTTGCACATTGGGTAACATATATAGCATGGATGAGATCCCGGTCCAGGACCATTCTCAATAGCGACAAAGGCGAAGCAGCTACAAAAGGTCAGGGCCCAAGATGGTCCGTCAGAAGCTGTTGCGTCGTTTAGGGCGGGAAAAAATTTCCACCTTCTCCTCCCCCCAATTACAAACACTCCTCTGTTCAGTTCAGTCTACCCTACAGACATAAATCAGGTAAAGCTTTTCATCCACCCCCCAATCCCATTCGGTGCTTATAGCTATACTAATATCAATATTCGATACCTCCTCATCTCATTTGCTTTTGGGGGTGCAGCAGATTGGATGGGTTGGTCGTACCCAGACATTTCCCTGGAGGATCTGATGAGAGTGATAAAAGGGTTCGTGGACATGTTGGTTCTTGCATCCGGGTATCAATCCTCCGGTCGTCTCTCCCACTGGGATTCGCATAACATCGAGAAAGCTTTCCAGTGGGCTACCTTTCTTGAGATTGTAATCAGCTCTCTCTCCTGTCTCCTCCCACCATCCTTCTCTTTCTGTGACACTTAAATTTCCATCAAAAATACATTGTCTTCCGCATATTAAAATTTTTCCCCCATGCATAGGGTCTCGGCTTGCCATTTTGTTCTTCCTTTCCCCTTGTTTCGCTCTCTCAATCCTTTTTTTTTTAATATAATTTTTAAAAGGTGTTGAGTTGCTTGAGAAGCTCTGATGATAACCAAGACTCCGTCGCAGAGCTCGATGCAGCTTTGTCCCAACTGACATCTTATCCTTGTTTCCCGGAGGTTGTTCCTTTTTTTTTTGGTTTGTTTCCTTTCAGCACGATTTGAAATTCATCCATTTAAATTCTTATGTACTTCAGGGTCTCAGGCAATTATCATGCACAACTCTCAGTCATGCTAGAGATTTAATGGTGAAACATCTTGTCCGTTCCGTGCCATTGACGGACGCGCATCTTAGAGCTTCAGTAGCAGCTGTAATTGGGATAGACAGCCACCAATTTCAAAGCATAGGCACTGATGAATTACATCTGTATCTTGAAAGATTGATGACTAATGCATTGAAAGATTTTATTTTAACCGGGAGCAATGCTTTTAGTGGGAACCGTAGCTTTGCTTCTTCAGACACTCAGTCGAGTCTGTGTATGACTAGCTTAGAAGGTAGTTTTACCAAGTCTGCAGTCCAAGAACTTGGTAGGAGGCAACTGGAAGTGTCCTGCATATCAGCAGCAGAAACAGGCTTAGATGCTCTCTCCAATATGATAACAAAGAGCAATATGATTCATGAGCATGGAACTACGTTATGGAAGGAATGGCACAAACAACAACCGCCACAACGGTTGACTACTTTTATGTGAGTCGTTGTACTTTGAATTGACCCTACCGGGGATGATATTTATGCACCATATTCCTGTTCATCCAACTTGGTTCTGGATTTTTGTGCTTGTCTCCTGGTTCTTGTCTTTAAAACCTCCCTGCCCTTTCTATATGATTGATATAGTTGTTCTTATCTTCATCGTTCTTTCTAGGTGCATTTTTTTCTTCATTTGTTAAACTTAAGTTCTATGTTTTCAATAGGGAAATGCCGTGATTACACATTGATTTTTTTAAAAACAGATTATCTGGACTTTCTGTTAAACAAAAATATGCTGTGAGTTTGATTTTGTTTGAATATTGCCCCAAGAACCGAGGAAAGACCTGTTGAACCTGCTGTTTGGAGTCAATGGAAGTTGAGAAGCCTCTCATATTTGCTCAACAAGAGGACAATTAGGCTGGTTTCTGGTGCCGCTTTGCTGTTTTCAGCACCAAAGCAACAATGGATTCAGGTGATTGAACGAATGGCTGTACTTGCTGACACTGATGAATTCTATGAAAAGATAGTAAGTCGGGTCTATTTTTGCTGGGGCATCATTAAGTCATACTTCAAATTTCTAAAAGTTGATTTTTTTTTTCTTTATTCCTGTCCTATGCCTGCACAAGTTGGACTTTGGGCCTTGTAAATGTGATGATGACATTGAATCATGCATTCAATCTGTTAATGGGTTATCTATTCATACAGGTCAAATTATCTGATGAATTATTGTCTAGCAAAAACTTTGAATATGTTGGTCATGAAGACTGTAAGAATTTTGGTTAGCCCCTAAAGACCTTGTTTAGTAACCTGTAATGTAATGCCTTCTTAATACAACAAGAGTATTTTGCAAGGTTATGCAGACGTTTATGCATAGATGGTTTTGTTTTGCTACATGGCTTGTTTGGTAATTGCTTAAACATTTGGTGAGTGCTCAGGCATTTTGATGAAGCTTCTTTTAGCATTCTATGTATGCTATGTTCTAGTTGGGCTCTTTTTTTTTTGGTCACTTAGCAGTTTATAAGAGATTGTTTCCTTCTTTTACCATGCAAGGAGCTTTTGTTGTTAGGAAGCATTGCCCACAAATGGAGTTCATTAGTTGAAAAGTTCATGTCAAGTTCCTATGAATGTCTCACCATCTTCAAACTATTCCAAGAAGTGCAGAACTTTCTTTCTGGAAGATTGCAGAACCTTTGTTGTGAAGAGAACATCTTAACAGAGGTATCTCTTACCATTGCAGATCATATCTGTTAAATGCATGTTTTTGTGCTCTATTGATGAAAGAGACTGTTCTTATTTCTTATATGACAGTTTTTGAGTCTAATAAATTGATTTCACCTAACTTTGAAGGTTTAATTACCTATTGTGCCGTAGCCTAGCTGGCAATTGTACTTTCACATACTTGGCTTTTCAGCCCTTCTAGTTTTCTTTTTTCTTTACACAATGGACCTGAGAAAGAGCTCTGAGATGATTTTGATAATCAAATAATGTTTGTCAGCAAGATAAAGTGACCTTGATCAATTCATATCAATATAACGTGAGTTTCCCATCAGACATGAAATATTAACCTCCAGTTAATGAAACAATTGGAATTAACAAATATGTTGTAACTGTTCATGCTTATAATCTACTTTATGGGTTGATGATGGTATCTTACTTTGGCATTTAATACTGGCAAAATTAAGCTTTGCACTGTGACAGTACTGTAAGTCCACTTTAAAAAAAAATGTAGCCACAGGGCCTTGTTTTGTTTAAAGTGGCAAATAGCTTGTCTAATTATGTTTTGTGTTGAGTTTCCAAATCTCAAGTACAGTCGTAGTTAGAGTCAGTTATCTCACTTCTAAGAGGCTTTGCTATCAAGAATGTATATACATTTCCAGTCATGCGTGCTCCCTTATTAGTTAAGTATAATAATCCTTCACTAACTATGACTCGTCGCTTTATGCATTTATATTAGGAACAAGGTGCTCTTGAATATTTAGAAGGTCTTTTAGGCAATCAGTTTCATCATTTCTGGAAAATGTCTCCTGTCCTTCTAGCAATGGCCATTCCTTCCAGGTATGTTATTCCTTGTGGATAATATAGGACATTCAGTGGATATTCTTTATACTCAAGTTAGTTGAGATGATATTCTTTATACTCAAGTTAGTTGTGATGAGGTGCCATGATTTATTGCATTTTCTGGGAAGTATAGAGTATTATTTATCATCAATTTATTAAGAATTTGCTCATCAAGGGCCATTGGTGCATCTAGTTTCCCTTTACTGAAGGCATATGGGACAACTTGTTTGCAGGTCAATGTTGTTCAGATTATATCTAATTGAGCTAGAGCATCAGATGAGAGGGGATTCCTCAGCAATTAGGTCTTGCATCTTTCTTAAATTTCTGCCTACTGGCCAATCTTCCTTATGTTAAACAATTTTATTTCTATTAATGATAACCAGTTTTACTTGCATGCAGATGTTGCAGTTGTATGATGGATGGCAAAAACCATGGGGAATGTATGTTTTTTTCTTATCTTTCTTTTATTTATTAATAAAATAGTTTTTCTCTGTGAGCTGCTGTTGATTGTATGTCGTGAGATGCTGACTATGGGAATTGAATTGCACTGCCAAATGGTGCAGAATGTCATTTTGCCAGATTGCTGGAGGCCTTTACCATAAGAAAACAAGAAATATATATATATATATATTTTTTTTTAGCAAAAAATGGTGTTTTACAGACTCAAATAATAGGGTTGTTTTTAATTTATTATGAAAACTGCAAATCATTAGAATGACTTTATTTATATATTTCTACAGAGTATAATGTATGTTGTGCCTTTGCGTGCAACCTGTTTAATAGAGCTGAGTGTAAGATATTAATTTTTTAATGGCTTTTGAATTGCAGTTGATATGCATTGTTGTTACTTGCAGGTGAAATAGCTGAGAGAATTTGGTGCCTCTATATTTTCCAAGCCTCTGGTACCTGGTAACATCATGTAGCATCAGTGCTAGTCTGCTAGATAATGGGTTTTTCAGTTTTATTATGCAGTGTTTGAACACTTCTTCCGTCTTTATGACTACTCTTGGCTTCTGAATATGTATTCATGGTTCTTTTATGCCATGTCTTGATTGCTTAAACATTTACTTGTTCAGTTCTTTTGTCTGGTTTTCATGTATTAATCTGGTTTTTATTGAGTGAGTACTACTGTGGATATTTGGAAGTGGCTTTCTGTTTGAGCAAGATTATCTTCTTTAAAGTTAAGTCGCAGTTATAGTACCCTAAAGCTCACTCCGGGCTCAAATGAAGTGCGCACATTATTATATATTAAAGGTGTTTGTCGAGGAATAAGCTCGATGCGCTAGATAAGCACAACTCGGAGATTTTCTGTCTCTGAGGAGGCGAGTGGGACGGCTGGTGGTCCTTTCAGAAAAAGCTTTTAAGAAGAAAAGATTGATGACCAGTTTTGGTATTAGGAAATGTGGAATATTAGAAAGAGATATAGTACTGCAAAGAGTTAGTTATGGAAATAGTGACCTTTAAACTCTATGACTCTTGACAAATATATACATCTATGTTCAGTCTTTGTCACAATTGAATTGACAAATGCTCTTTATATTCAGATTTCCTGGATCTTTGATTTAAATAAAAGAGTTGGATCTTTTGATGGTCATTTTTTGAAATTTATGCTTTGCAACTGATTCAATTGGGGAACCTGAAGGGATGGCAACTTGAGTAGAGGTTATGGATCCTGATACTTGTCTTTGCACTGACGACTCCGGGCTCTGGCTGTAGTCAATTGGTCGACTAATGCATAATGTTGAGTTTTGCTTCCTTCTATGCTGATAAAGAGATTTAGTGGAGCAATATTCTCCTTCTTAAGGGGAAATCCTTTAAAGAAATAACCATTTCGTGGTTTTACCTTTACTTTTTGACAATATATCCCAAGCATACTGTGATTTTTTACCCACAAGAAAACAGGAAGAAGGATGGTAGAAGAAAATCAAGATGACCTAATTAAAATTGCCTCTAGCATGCAAAAGAAAAGGTTGAACAGGAATTCACAGTAAAAAAGATTATAATTTTTTTTTTCAATTGATGGTGCTTTCTCGTTGTGTGTTCATAATGCACTACCATAGCTGAAGGATAAGCAACGGATTTGATGTATTCCCAGTTCCCCACCCTTTCTGCTTCTTTATGCGTATCTTGAAAATGTCCTGCTCCGTTTGACATCTCATCTTCATTTACTTGCAGAAAAACCTTATAGCATGGTGCTCAACATATGAATCTGATCAAGCGGACCAATTTAAGCCCCGAGGATGGATGGTTAGCACACCTTTCCCTCTCTATTTATTTTTTTGATTGTGTAAGAGTGGACCTCATCCATCTTTGTCTTTCACGAGAAGCCCCAGCCACATCATGGTGTTAATGACACTGAAATGTCAGGATCGCTAGATACAGCAATTCGGTGCGAATTCTATTTGGTCCCGTTAGTGCTGTTACCCTCCAAATTGATGCTAGATAAGGAATGGATTCTCCAGTCCTTTCTCGAGGTGGGGACGAGCAGGACCTGCATGAATTCAAGTTGGGTTGACTGGTCTGTGTTTGATAGCAATGTTTACCGCCTCCCGCAAATGCGAAAGTGACAGCAAATAGTATGGGATATTGATGCCTACTCATGGAATATGGAGAGTATTAAAGCACAGGTATCATGTTCCTTGTTAAAGCTCATTTTGCTGGTGAATTTCTATTCCTGTCAAAGCAGAGTTATAACTCTCCCTCCCTTTTTGAGGTTATTCAGTCGAGGGCATTTCAAGACTTGCGAGCATGAAACTGTCAAATATGCTGAGTTTGATCAAGATCCATATATCCAAGTGGGGAACAAGAATGGTTGGAAGTGGTTCTGCTGTAATCCTTCTAAGCGTTCAAAGAAAATTTCCAGTCAAGTGCTGCTATGGTGGAGGATCGCATGTTGCAAAGCAGCTAGTGCGGAGGTTAAAGTCACAATGGAAGCCCGTTCTGAGCCCGAGGTGGCAGAAAAGCAGCACAGGGTACAATTATGATGCTTGCAGCTACTCCCAAAACTTCGATGACGGTTGCTCCAGTGATCATAGATCACCTCTAGCTCCCAGATGACTTCACTCTGCATCATCATAACAATCACCCACCTATGTTCTTAAGTTTCATAAAAAGCAGCCAGCTTCTGAGGGGCCTTTCTTCTGTCTTGAATAATACGTCGTTATTTGGGGTAACTTCCCTGCGATCTCCATTGGCATGTGTGATGCAGGAGCCTTTTGTCCTGAGAATTAACGATGCTTGTAAGAGAAGAGCTTTAGAGATATGCAATAACAACTCTTACGTATTACTATTATGTAGCCAGCCTGAGAATTACAGCTGTTTGCAAAAGACGTATCCCTGTAGTGTAGACTCTGTTTGTTTGCCGATTGAAGTGACATTTTTGGTCCTTTGGCTTAGTACAGGGACCAGGAAGAAAATCGTCAGGATGACCCACCACTACATTTTGTCGCATTCTTTTTTCCATCCAAAGCAGACGGCTAATCTCTGTGCGCTTTTTGACTATTTGGTCTCAGTTACCTAAGTTGTGTTGCCTATGCGAAAATTTTCATTTAAATTCATTTTGATTACCTAAAGAACAGTACTTAAATGTCATAGATTGATAAAAAAATCTCTCTCTCATAATTCAATTTGATAGTTGAATTACACGGACTCATAATTAAGCAGGGGACCTCAGGCGCCAAAATAAATAGCAATGAGCAGTGAAGTGATCGATTATTTTATCGTTCCATTTGCAGCAGTAAACTTGCTGCTGATTCTCTTTTCCGCCTGATACAATTTTAAAGCTAATTTGGGACAACATACATACCCCACTCCCATGTTACCCAGCCAGGCCGGTATGATTGATTATCTCCCTTTTCCCCGCAAATTGCTGCCAGCAGAATTTCTAGTCTTCTCGATTTTCACATCCGTCAGGATCTCTCCTTCTTTCCGGCGAGGCAGATGGCACTAAGAAATGTGCTGCTTTTGCTAGCTTTGGTAAGCCTCTGCAACGGCTTAGAAATTGCCGATCGTTGGAATATTTTGAACCCAGAAAGGAGGGCTCCGCTTCTGGGCGGCGCTAGCTTGAAGAACTACTGTGAGAGTTGGAGGATGAATGTGGAGCTAAACAACATTAGGGGATTTGAGGTTGTCCCACAAGAATGCATCAGCTATATAGGCAAGTATATGACGTCAACTCAATACAAAACAGACTCCCAGAGAGCAATTGAGCAATGCCATCTGCATCTCACCAGCTGCTGCACTTTGAAGGGCGATGGCAAAGATGCCTGGATCTTTGATGTTGACGACACCTTGTTATCCACCGTCCCATACTTCAAGATTCATGGCTTCGGGTAAGCAAGTCCATCCATCTTCACTGATTTCTTCCTCTCTTTTTTCCACCCCCTTTTGAGTTGACAACACCAGCTTAGTTTGTGTTTAGTAGCATTAATTAAACAAGTAAATTTTTTTTTTTAAAAAAAAACTCTCGTGTAAATTAAAAAAATTAGTTTTTAGGCATGCCTTGATGTAATTGCGTGAAATGATCAAACAAGGGGAGAGAAGTTGAATGTCACATCTCTAGAAGCATGGATGAGGAAAACGAAGGCACCAGCTCTGGAGCATACGCTCAAACTCTTCCATGAGATCCGAGGGAAGGGCATCAAGATTTTCTTGATCTCTAGTAGGAGGGAATGTGTAAGAGATGCCACCGTAGACAACCTCATCAAGGAAGGATATCATGGATGGAGTGGTCTGACATTAAGGTGCGTATTACTGTTACCATCCAGTTGAGTTGAGACTTGAGACAGTGATTTTTTTTTTAAAAAAATGTTAAATAGAGTCAAATTTTGTTGATTCAAACTCCTCCTCATGGCCTGGCATTATTGATGCAGGGGTCTGGACGATGAATATAAAGGAGTAAGAAACTACAAGGCTGAGGCAAGGAGAAGACTGGTGGAGGAGGAGGGCTACCGCATATGGGGAATTGTGGGTGATCAATGGAGCAGCTTTGATAGCGGTCCAGCTGCTGAAAGAACCTTCAAGCTTCCCAATTCCCTGTACTACGTTTCTTGAATCAATCAACATCGTGCTTTATGGAATTCTCCAAATGATTGTGATAGTGCGATGCTAGCTAGAGACAGCAAGATCGGGCGGGAGCTCTTGACTGCCAGAGCAATCCCCGCGGCCCATATTTTGCTTCTGAAAGATGTATTCTGTAAACCCAAAATTCCGATCAAACAATTGATCAGCACTGGGGCCGGTACTGCTGTCAAATAAGCATCATTTCTGCTTCCTTGTAGTAGTAAAATTTTAGCCCAGCCTTCCGTCCTTTTTTTTTCTTTTTAGCAAATTACAAGAGGACCGGCTTCTTCCTTCTTGGTTTCAGACTTGGGGATTACACAAAATTGTGGCCTTCTGCAACCATATGGAGCAGTACTTGTATCCTGGTCCTTCTTCCCTTAAAATGAATACTGAGAAACCAAAATGCTTTCATACTTTTTTTTTTTACAGCCTTACAGTTGAATACGCTAACAGCCCATTACGAAAGGGGTACATGAACTGTGTACCCGTCAAATCTCAAGGATCACTTTCTTTCTTCTGCCTAAGCCGCAGACAAGAGGAGAAGGAAAAGCGGAGCACTACAAGGTCAGACAACTACAGCCATCGCTCGTGCAAAAAGAAAGAAGACACGAATGCTCGTTAACTCACTTTTAATGTAATTAAAATGGGATTGAAAAAAAAAAAAAATTCTTAGGAGGAAAGTGCTCAAAGCTAACAAAATTGAAGTAAGGTCTAATTCCATTCCAACACGGCTATTCACACAATTACTTGGAAAGTTCAAACTCTTTGTAGGCTCGGGCTTTTTGCTGTATCAGATTCAGAAACTTTTCCATTAATGTAAGGGATAATTTCAAAAACCTCCTTTGATGTTTTTGATAATTTCGTTTAGCTCTCTCTCGAGGAATTAAAAATTACACGTACCTCCCTTATCATTTAAAATGATAATATATTATCCTTAAATATTTTAATGAAATTCCTTTATTTGGTATGCTTATATTTAGAATAACTTTTAAATTTATTTTTAATAAAGTTTCTAGTGTAATCAAATGTCGATTTGGTGATTTTTCTGATGAGTTAACTTATATGTAATCCAACGCAATCACTGGGAAAGTTGAAACTCTTCGTAGGCTCAAGCTTTTGCTGTATTAGATTGAGGAACTAGTTGCTTTATTCCATTAATTTAATACGGGCAAGTCCATTATGCACTATAACGCTCGCGTGTGTGTATATATATATGTAGTGAGTTTAGATACATGTCATATATATATATATATATGTGAAATTTAATATTTAAATTTAAATTAAAATGATATGACATGCATCTAGATGCATCAGCATATACATTGATAGTTATAAGAAAGATAATTTACGTCCCATAATATTTGAATTAATCTTTTGTTGTTCACACTAGTAAGATTAGATATATGACAATTAATATATTATTTGAATTTGAACTTTAATTAGTATAATTTTAACTTGATATTAAATTGTAACTTTTACCTTAGTAATTTAAAATAAAAAATCGAGATGATGATGATGGAGATTCCGAAGAATCCACCACGGTACCGAATGGCCTCCCCAAAGACCCCCGGTTGGCCTTTTGGCCCAATGGAAGGACCATTCCCTCGAGAGGTCAAAATTACGATTTTCTCCTTTTATAAAATACTAAACGATCAGAAACCTGAGCCACACGTGCATCCCATTACACACTTTCCCAACAATCCAATCACATTCCCTTATCAAAGTGGGACCCACCAACAACAAGTTCACAACCTTCCCATATTCCCATGCCCTGTTCCACACGCAAAGGTTAAGGGCGTGGAAGTGCGATTATTGTCGTACGTGGAATAAAAAAATCCTGCGTGTAAGTAGTACGTAGAAGCCAAATGCGACTGAAATACTGCTAGCCACCACATCTCCAACATCGCCAGCCCGCACCGTTCGATATCGCGCCGGTGACGGACCCCCCCCCCCCCCCCACAAAAATCCCCAACCCCACCCCAAAAATATAAACCCGCAGGTGAACTTGTATGGGGCTGCAACCTATTTGTGTAATTTTAAGCCTGCAAGAAAGAGACTCTTCTGTTTAGTGTTTGTTTGAGCTGTCCAAACTCGAAGGTAGTGATGTGCCTATGAAAGTCTTCAATCGCGTTGTTTTCGTTATGGAGCCGTTCGACTCTCAACTCCTCAGTTTTCTTCTCCAATTTTAGGTCGGACAATCTTCAACCTTTTCTCTTCGTCTCCTCCCCACTCCCCGGTTTTCATGTTTTCTTCCTTTTCTTCAATTGGCAAAATTTGTATGATTTTGATTTTGCTTTCTTGTTGTGTATGGCTTTTTTAAAAAAAAAAAAAAAATTTTCTGTCGTCGAAGGTGGCTGGGGAGTGGCGTGGTTTGGGAAATGGAAATTGATGCTTATGCATGACTTGGAATATGCCCAATTCTCGTTTCTATCTGGTAGGGTAAGCTATATCATGTTTTTCCTTTTCGTTTTCTGGTTTTTTTGTTGTTAAAGTTTTAATCTCTGTAGAGGTTGATGGGTTTTCCCTTGTTGTTTTTTTTTCCTTGAAAAAATGGGGCAGCCGTGAGTGAGTTAGGCGATGGAGAGGGAAACTTGTACACCTTCAACTGACGAATTAGGATCTTTTGGGTAAAGATGAGAGCTTTGGGGGGTGGTTTTAACCGTGATTACTGATTGTAGGTTTTCCATGATATTAATGTGTTTGGTGGCTGTTATCTGTAGAATTTGCATTTAGTAAAGAACTTTTTTAATTTACAAATGGGGCTTACAAGGTGAATTTCTCTATTTCGACCCACCCATATGAATTTGTTTCTGTCCCATGAGTCGTGTTGCAGTCAGGCAGGCTTATACTCATGGTTGAGTGAAATTTTCAATCATGGACTGCAGCTTTTCTGCACCAAATCTCATGCAAGCATTCGTCTTATGGTACAATAGTTGTTTTGACTATCAGTCAGCACATGTTTCCCTGGGGACCTTCTTCATGTGTCTTTAGCTACTAGATATATCTTTTGTGTATTTCTCCACTGCAAATGCTGGCTCCAATATCCTTAGTTCCTTATTTTCTCTGGTGTCTGTTGTTTTATTTTGTTGCCCTTACCATTGTCATTGCTATCCTTGACTGTCTACTGGGTTTTTAGATTCTAGTGTCATAGGTGAAGCAATTAAGGAAAAAGTTCAGGTTAAGTTCATTGGACACCCATGAGACATTGCGAAGCTGTTTTAGGTCTGAATACATGCAAATAAGTGGCCCTCCACTTGTCATCTCAACTTGAAGACATATGCCACAGGACTTTTTGAATATATTAGTTTTACTTGAATCTCTGGTTCTTTTGTTTAATTTACTCATTCACTATTTGACTTGTCAACTTTTGAATTCTTGTGGCTTAGGGACTGAGAAGTGCCAGTGGTGTTTGAGAAACTAAATTATTTGCTTAAGTTGAAAGCATTATCTGTTTCGTAGAACACCAGCAATGGAGGCGCGGCCTGCTTTATCCATACAAAGATCGG